TTTATATATATAGATTTCTCATTCTCCCATCAATTTCCTTCTCTATCTCCTAATTCTAACAACGTGGCAGCGGCTGATAATGCGCTATGGTTATCCCACTTGTCCTTATGTTGGGTTCGCTCATGTGTTTTCATGGCAGTTCTTTGAGCGAATGTCGCAGGACAATACGCACATTTGTATGGTCTCTCGCCCGTGTGAGTCCGACGGTGGTTGGTAAGTATGCGATTTGTCTAGAAAAGTTGATAACAAAATATAATAATAATAATCTTTATTTCTGATAACTAGCAAACCAGTGATTGATTGAGAACTTCGGAGATTTTGTGTGGTTTCGTTTGAAATTCGTGATTTCTCGAAAACCGGAAGTGCTACGTTACTCAAATCCGGTTTGTAATCTTATCAGACTATTCTTAACTTATAACTTAAACATTCTCTTTATCTATCTCTTACGGTTTGGCCGCTGAAACAGCACCACAGACGGACGGACGGACGGACTTGTCTAATAGATAAGAGATGATCTTTATTTCTGAACCATGACGTATACAATACAACAATTTAGCCTTAACAACCGTAGTAGTCTAATGCCCGTATTCATCATCATCATCATCAGCCTATTAATGTCCCCACTGCTGGGGCACAGGCCTTCCCTATGGATGGAATAGGGAGCATGGGCCATAACCCACCGCGCGGGCCCAGTGCGAATTGGTGGGTGCTAATGACTGCAGTTGCAGCCGGGACCAACGGCTTAACGTGCCTTCCGAAACACGGAGGAGCTCGAGATAGTAAATTTTTGGTCACCCATCCAATGACCGACCACTACGAAAGTTGCTCAACTTCAACGATCGCAGCCGAACGCGCTAACCAAATGCGCCATCGAGCTCCTCCCGTAAGCCCGTATTACAGAATGACAACTAAGTGTCGATCTTTACTTGAGTACAGTTAGAAAGGGATGTCGCTTTGTGCTATATATAGCGACACCCCTTTCTAACTATGCTCAAGACTAGATCAATCACTGAGAATCTTTCTATAATACCGGCTTAAGACTGTTTTATAGTTATTAGCGCCCACCTCAAAAGACAGGCACATTACAGACATGATTAGAAACAAACAAGGTATTTATAATACATTACGCTTCGTGTGTGTGTATATGGGGTCATCCATAAATTACGTCACACGAATTTCATGATTTTTTGCCCCTCCCCCCGTCCTTGTCACAGCTGGTCACATTTGTGAGACACTGTCCTTCCTTAGTGTGACGTCACATATTATGCAAATTTACATTTAGAAATTATTGAATGAAAACAGCGGTTCTGAAATCAGTTTTATTTCCATTTAAATAGTTTTTTAATAATATTAACATCAAATCAAACAAATAACAAAACAAAAAACGATTAAATAAAACGTTCCCGTTTGGGTTATTAATGTTTTCATAAAGTAATAGTTTCAACACTTAGATTACAATAGATTTTGAAATGTGACGTCACGAAATTTAGGACCCCTCCCACCCCTTTGTCACACGATGTCACACTTCGACGACCCCCTCCCTCCCCCTTAACGTGTGACGTAATTTATGGATGGCCCCTATGTGGTGTGTGTGTGATAGAGAGATGTGTGTGTATGTGTATGTTTTACTTGATCTATAACTCCACAGTGTCATATTCCAAGTCGAGTAACCACCCGCTCAATTTGATTTTACATTCATGCTTTGAATGAGGGTAAATTTTAAGCCTTTCATTTACTTTGTTATAGAGACGGGGATTATTAATATCTCTTATCTATTAGACAAGTCCGTCTGTCTGTGGTGCTGTTTCAGCGGCCAAACCGTAAGAGATAGATAAAGAGAATGTTTAAGTTATAAGTTAAGAATAGTCTGATAAGACTACAAACCGGATTTGAGTAACGTAGCACTACCGGTTTTCGAGAAATCACGAATTTCAAACGAAACCACATCAAAATCTCCGAAGTTCTCAATTAATTAAATACATTTTTTTTTTAAATCAGGTTTTGGTGAACATTTGATTCACTGGTTTGCTAGTGTAATTTAATTCAATAAAACATGCTTCAACGGGTTAGATGCAATGATGTTATTTATTTACTAACGGCCGCCCGCGACTTTGTACGCGTGGAGTTAGTTATAAATAAAGGTTCACTGCTCGTTCCCCGTAGGTGATAGCGTGATAATATGTAGCCTATATGTTGACCCGACTTCTTAATAATATTCGTGCCAAAGGACAATGGGCAAAACGCACCCAGCTCCGCCAACAATGTAATTAGTATGAATCGATAGATCTATGGAAAACTAGCATTTTTTATTATGACACCGAAAATAAATATCCTGGGAGTCAAAAGATATGACACCGTAAAAAATATCCTAGTAGTCAATAGATATGACACGTGGGCATATTTAAGTAGCTGAATAAATTCTTATTGATTGGATAAATAGTACCTTAATTTTATATTATTAGTAATCATAATATTATGCCATATCGTACTATACAACCGGATATACAAAGCCTGACGAACATCCAGCGATTGCTCTTACTGAGGCATTTCAAAACGGTTTACGGATGCTGAAGGACTTGCAGTTGTAAATAGTCGACTCGTTGTGATTGTGCGCTCCCTGCTATTTGATTAATTTTTACCTAACATGCTTTGGATACTGGAACACGAATTTAGTGACAATTAGTATGGATGAACTGGAATCATGTGTTCTCCGAAGCGTGGACAAGTTTGTGTAATCTGTGATCGCTCCGTTTTACATAGAAGACAATTTACTATAACGAACAGAATGTTTAAAAAAAGCCCAACCCATGCGGGGTTTTTTGGATTTACTCTAGTGCTTCAGAATAACATAAGGGGGCACCCTTGCACCTTGTGAAGTACTCCCATAATTCCTGAGCACCCTATGTAGGGTCGAACTAACTACATTAATTCCCTTGTTTCATTAATGTTCTTTCGTTATAGTACATGTACATATTTATCTTAAAATAACTAAAGACCCCCGGGATGGAATTTCATGCGCTTTAGCACAGATGATCTTGACTATAATACCTTTCAAACAAATGTAGTTTAAGCCGTGGCGGACGTGGGTGCAGCGTCCATACATTTTTGCCCAATGTCCTTTGAAGTAAATCCATGCAGTACTTTTTGAGTTTATCCCGGACATATATACAGACAAACAGACAAAAATTCTAAAATCTATATTTTTGGCTTCGGTGTCGATTGCAGATCACACCCCAAGTTTTCTTTTAAATGCCCTGCCATTTTATTATATGTATAGATTGACGTTTCCGCAGCCTTTGCAGGAATGCTTCGTCAGAATAATGACTTTTTATTAGACTTGCAATGAGTAGTATATTCGGCAGTATACCGAATACCGAATATTCGGCGAGGCCCCTGACCGAACAGCAACAACAATATTAGGCAAAAGTATTCGGCTGGATTTTAGCGCCAAAAACTTGTACAGACGTGATTGTTTCGCGCTCCTTTGTTTTGTTCTAATCTGCCGTCCTCAAGCTAAAATGCGGCTAAATGACAAAACCAACTTTTGAGATATGGCCAAAAACGGCGCGTAAACTTTAAATTATTGCTATTATGTAACCATTCATCACACGACTGAATGAATTAAAAACTGTTAACTTGTTTAATACACAAAAAATGATTAAATTATGTACCTGTTTTATGTACCAATGACTACTTAATAAATGATTATAAAAGAAATGAGAACCTTACCCTTTTAAATTTTGATTACCACAATAATTCAAATACATAGAATTCTCCATTTTTCCAATTCAGAAGATGATTATGTACCTGTGTTATGTACCAATGACTACTCAAATGATCATATAACAGAAATGAAAATATGAATATATACGTTATCAATCGATTTTGATTTTTCATTTACCAATTATTTCTCTATGACAAAATAAATTATTTAAGTATTCGGTATTCAGTCGAATAATATGTAGATATTCGGTATTCGGCCGAATATAATAAAAGCAGCCGAATAGGCCGAATACCGAATAGTAACCGAATATACGTTGCAAGTCTACTTTTTATTTACTTTTGAAGTTAATAATTACTTTTGAAGTAAATAATAAAATCATAAAGGCTGCGAAACGTCAATGAATAAATAAAATCAGTGAATCTAACACGTTGAAAGTAGTTTTATTAAATGAGTGATGAGCGTGAAAACCTAAGAAACAAATATGTAATTTAATTACCTATACATAAAAGTCAAAATCGAACTAGTCAAGCTACTGCATACTGTATTTTTTTCAATAAATTGTAGATCTTGTATCTTACAACATCACTATCGCAGTTTAATTAATATTTTGCATAAGGCCAAGCAAATCGGTATTAGATGAAACAACATATCAAGCTACCACATTATACAGGATGTTACAAAAATACAAATAAAGATTGAAGGGCGTTGAAGTACATCATACATATAAGGAGTCTTTTCTAATTTTCTTAAAATATTTGCATGACCTTTTAACTTTTTATAAAAACAGTTATTTTTAATGATTAATAAAAATATCGATAATTTTAAGACACGTCACTAGTTCGAGGACCTATAAAAATAACTGTTTTTATAAAAAGTTAAAACATCATGCAATTTTTTTAAGAAAATTTGAGAAGACTCCTTATTTGATGTACTTCAACGCCCTTCAAGCTTTATTTGTATTTTTGTAACAACCTGTATAATGTGGAAAAAGACTGCAAAATACCTACTACGAAAAAAGATATAAATTTTTGAAACCTCGCTGGCAGAAATCATTTAAAATACACAAAAAAAATATAACTCGAAAAATAAGAAAAATCGCGGAACATACATGGGGTGTTTTCGGATACCCCCAGGTGCGAGGAATCTAAAAAAAAAATTGTTGACGTCACTAATTGGACCACCCTGTATGTATAAATATACACATATATATGAGTGATGCGTGCACTGCTCCACTCCCCTACGCCTTATGCACCGCCTAATGTTAGGTTATTTAAGAAAAGAAGTTTCACTTCAGATGTGTCTTAACAATATGCATACTTACGCTAAATCCTCGTCCACATATATCGCACATTTTGTTCTTGGGCATTGGTATTTTCTCGTGTACATGCTGCCTGTGCGTACGCGCCGAGAACGCAGAACAAAATGTCTAAAAGAGAACATATTGATATCTATTATAATGTCCCCACTGCTGGGGCACAGGCCTCCCCTACGGATGGAATAGGGAGATTGAGCTGTGACCCACCACGCAGGTACTTTTGGTGGGTGCTACGGAGTGAATACAAATAGCAAATAAGAGCAATAAAAGTATTGATAATTTGAGGAACTCGAAGGCGCGGGAAGTTGAAGTTAAGCAACTTTCGCAGTGGTCGGTCATTGGATGGGTGACCAAAAATCTTCTATCTCGCGTTCCTCTCCGTGCTTCGGAAGGCACGTTAAGCCGTTGGTCCCGGCTGCATCTGCAGTCGTTAGCACCCGCCAATCCGCACTGGACCCGCGTGGTGGGCCATGGCCCAACCTCCCTATTCCATCCATAGGGAAGGCCTGTGCCCCAGCAGTGGGGCACAGGCCTTCCCTATGGCTAAATAGGCTGATGATGAAAAGTATTGAACGTAGCACACAGCACTGATGACGTCACTCGATAATAGTTCTAGCCATTCACCACCAGAGGCGCTGATTCTAATTTGACCCTAGTTTTTAGATAGATAGATAGATAAGACTTTATTCTCACCAACAAGCACACATACAAAATTTAAAAGACAAATTTTACAATTAGATAAATCCTTTAAAACAGGGAACAAATTATATTTAACCAACTATACTATTGTAGGAAGCCCAAAGGGGAAGATCTGCCTCCGAGCTGGGTGATGGTAGATCGGGGGCCGCGGCTCGACCGATATTGGTCGGGCATTGTATATATGGAGTGTTAGCCTCCGAATTTCACTTGCGAGATGTAGGCTTCCGTACAATAGGGTATTTGACAAGTTTTAGAAAACGATCTCACGTTATTGACTAATGTTTATGGAGTCCATAAAAAGTGGATATTCATCATTCTGTTGTGTATTTCAGTAAATATAACCAAATCAAAAACTCCATTTTCAAGTTGCCGCGAAAACGTTTTTCTGGACAATATGGCGTTTTACTAGTGTGTGACGTCACACGACTATTATTAAAACGTCAAATGATACAATGTAATGTCACTTTAACCGGAAGTTTACTTGCGTGTGACGTTATTTTAGGCTCTGCCAATCTCAATCGTTTTGGGTCACGTGACAATAGATAAGAAAACTATTATTAAAAATAGTTAAAAACCCCGCCAATATTCATTCTAAACACAGATGCTACCAATAGGGTTGATGACTATTTTTTTCTTCGTTTATCAGGTAGATTATCAAAAAGTATTGGACGCATATTTTTTTCTTTTTTCACATAATATAAACATTGCAAAGATATATTGATTTGAAAAGTCGCATGACGTCACGTTTGAGTACACTTTTAAGCGAATATTCACTAAAAAGTGACGTCACGAGCCCCTACTCCCAAAATTTGACACGCTATAACTTTGTTTGGTTGATTGCCCAAAGAAAAAATACGTGTCCATTATTTTTTGATCATCTAACTGACGGACTAAATAGAATTTCGTTTACTGTACCCCGTCATCACCCCTATTGGCACTTTATTTTTAACACTGTCAAATACCCTATTGTGATCACAGCGCAGGTAGCGCCATCTCTTGAGCATATGTGCAGCATAATGTAAAAAAAACTCACCTTATTACAAATATCGCATCTGTGCTTCGTAGTGTTCCTGTGTACGGAATTGTAGTGGTTCGTCATGCGGATCTTGCGAGCGAACACTTTATCGCACTCCGGACACGGAACCCTAAAGTGATAATAAATAAATGTTGAACACTTATGCAACGGTCATGCGAGATAAACAAATAAATATTTCTAACACTCACACCTAGCTTAGCCCCAAAGTAAACACTGTAAGGCTTGTGATATGGGGATATTAGGGTAACGGATAGAATACATATACCATGACTGGAGTACAAATGCTCGTATGCATCACACACACATTTGCCCCCACCGGGATTCGAACCCGGGACCTCTCGAGTCGGCGACACCATGAAACCCGGCGTACAAACCACTCGGCCACGGAGGTCGTCACGGTCGTCACGGAGATAACGGTGTCGATTCTGGCGTGATTCACTAATCTTAAAACTAAATCTAATATATAAAATTCTCGTGTCGCGGTGTTTGTGGTTAAATTCCTCCAAAACGGCTTTCCCAATTCTCATGAAATTTTGTGTGGATATTGGGTAGGTCTGAGAATCGGACAACATCTGTTTTTCATCCCCCTAAATGTTATGGGTAATCCACCCCTAATTTTTTTTTTCAATTTTAGATATTTTTTTTTTGTAATTTTTTTATGATACAGCATTAGTAAATACATACTACTCTAAATTTTCACCCTTATACCACCAACCCCTATTTTTTTATGGCGATACGAAGTTCGCTGGGTCAGCTAGTTAAATATAATATTTTTTAAATATTTCCAACACACACAAATTAGCCTATCCCCAAAGTAAGCACTGTAAGGCTTATGGAGATACTAGGGTAACGGATAGAATACATATAATGATACATATATGTATATATTTATATACAAATATATAAAGGGTGTAAAAACCTATGACAAAGACTAAAACTACGCATTCTGTACACATCATCAGCCTATTAATGTCCCCACTGCTGGGGCACAGGCCTTCCCTATGGATGGAATAGGGAGATTGGGCCATGACCCACCACGCGGGCCCAGTGCGGATTGGTGGGTGCTAACGACTGCAGATGCAGCCGGGACCAACGGCTTAACGTGCCTTCCGAAGCACGGAGGAGCTCGAGATAATAAATTTTTGGTCACCCATCCAATGACCGACCACTGCGAAAGTTGCTTCACTTCAACGACCGCAGCCGAACGCGCTAACCACTTGCGCCATCGAGCTCCTCATTCTGTACACACAAAGAAGTAATTAATATTACAAAATATTATATGTGGGATAAATTTGTATTTTTAAGTTCAAAAAAATCGCTACTGTGGCGCTACGCAAAGAATGTGCCTGTGTGTATGTGTGTGCGTGTGTGTAAGTACGTCAATAAAAAAGTTTCTAAATAACGTTTTGAAAATATTAATGTATAAATCTTAAAAAAAAATGACTTTGACCTTCAACATCTCCATAACCATAAATTTCCCAGGTATGGTCCAGAAGAAAAAAAATGATCGTCATGATGTGGAAAATACATGGCCTTCGACTTCGTTAAAGGTTTTTTTACACCCTGTATTAAACATCCATGACTGGAGTACAAATGCTCGTATTGATCACACAAACACATACATATTATATATTTTAAGATATGTTAATTTTTTGTTCAATGTCTATTTATGTATTTAAATATTGTGCACAATAGTAATTGGGCACAGGCATGCCCATATTTTTTTCTTTTTGTACTTTTTTGTCTGATGCCTGTTATTGTGCCATTTTAAATAAATAAATAACAAAAGAGAAATTCCACGCGTTCATCACGCAAAAATTTGCTACATAGTCAGGCGATCTCTCACATTAACTAAACAATTGGTATACAAAAATGCTGAATCTCATAACTTAAGATAGCTTTAGGACGGTTCGCACCACCAACTGACTGAGGTTGAGATTGAAAACAGTAATAATAGGCTGGTTGACTCATGTCAAATTGCAATATACAAATGTTTATTTCTTATATTTTTTGGTATGAGCAGACCCCTCTTTCCCAGCGGGCACTTTGGGCAAGTGCCCTCAGATCAAATACAAAGTCCCTACTTCCTGTCAGATAAACAAACGATAACCAATATTTATTACCAAAAAAATTATATGATTCGATGAAATCGAACCTAAATTACTGACTACAATACCAACTTACTAGCTTTTACATGCGCGAAGCTATTCTACTCTCGCCCAAAAATTAGGCTTTCCGACTTCAGCATGCTTAGATAAATTTAAATATACATATAAATGGTATCCTAAGCACATACACATTTTAAAGAAAAATCATCAGTAGTACACTCATCAGTATGACTCGCTCCATTTCAAGTCATAATCCACATCAAAGTCATAGGGGCCCCATTATCCTAATATGCCTAGGGCCTAGGGATGCAACATCGTTCTGAAAAACATCGATATTTTAAAACATCGATGTTAGCATGAAAAACATCGATGTTAAAAAATATCGTTGCTAAGAGCGATATATCGATGTTTTTGCCGATGTTTTTTTTATTTTTAATAGGATGCTTCATTGAAACAATTAACAATACCGCTCTTTTCGGTATAAGTATGCTCGATGCTTAAAGGTTAATAAAAATAAGAAGTACATGATGGTAAATTAAATTATAACAAAATGATTCTCACCATTCAATTACGCAAATAAACAAAATAATATGAACTGTCAGTTCACAAGCTGCTTTAATCAACAAGCTATTCGTTTTGTAATTTTTTTTAACCTTAAAATTATACGCTCTATTTTCACGTACCTAAAGAAAAAACAAACCATCAAAACCTAACTACTATAAAAATTAATTCAACGAGTACATTACTCACCCAATCAAGAAATCTAAAATGTGAATAGGTATGTAGTCAAAGAATCAAATTATATTTAATCAAATTCATCTACGCTTTCCGTGCCAGCACAACAATGCAATGCGAGCGAACGTCACAGTGATTCCGAAATCCGAACTGACAAGAACGATGTCGATGTTTGTAAATGTAGCGAACGATGTATCGACGATATATCGCTCATCAAAACATCGATGTTAACATCGATGTTTATGACCGATACCTCGATGTTTTTCTAACATCGATGTATCGTTTGCATCCCTACTATGGCCTCCAATAGGTTAAAGACGGCCCTGGGTATGAGGAACCTTAATACATCGAATTCACACACACTTCATTAAATTAGCAGATGGCTGTAGTAATTCAATTTGAAAATTAGTTTTTTAGTCTATGCTTTTTAAACACTAAGCACGCTGTCTTCCATGATCGTGACGTCATAAAATTTGTAAACAACTAAACGTCATTGTCGCGTTACTACGGTTTCTTTCGCCAGACTAAAATATGCTTGCGAGTGTTTGTTTACAAATGTTTTGAAATCATAGTATAGATAAATCTATAAACTAAAATGTGAGACAGCGTTTTTGCATATCCATGAAAAGTCTATTTTAAAATTAAAGATTTGTAGCTTTCTAGGTATAAAAAAAATACAATACATTTTTTTTTCGGTCTAATAGAACATTTACTAACCATTTAAAACCTTTTTTCAAAAAGGCTCAACTAGCCTATTATTTACAAATACAAATAAATACTTCTGTTGCTAAAAAGAAGACAGGGACAACATTAGATTTACACCAAACATAATCGGCCTTATTACAAAACGTAGTCCAGACTCAAACCTGGACTTAAACTGATGCTGTCACTTTTGTTTGATAAAAAGTAGACAGAGAAAGAAGACAGGGACAACATTAGGTTTAAACCAAGACTAACTTGAGTCCGCGTTAAACTTGGAACTTGGATTAGTTACTCTATGTTTTTTTTCTGCACATTGAATGACAAATTGCATTTCAATGATATGAACAAAACCCGGTTTAACTACTCTAAGCTTATACCTCGTTTATCAATAACGAGGATTAGGTTTAAACCAAGACTAACTTGAGTCCGCATAAACTTGAAACTTGGATAAGTTACTCTATGTTTTTTTTCTGCACATTGAATGACAAATTGCATTTGAATGATATGTACAAAACCCGGTGTAACTAGTCTAAGCTTATACCTCGTTTATCAATAATGAGGATTAGGTTTAAACCAAGACTAACTTGAGTCCGCATAAACTTGAAACTTGGATAAGTTACTCTATGTTTTTTTTCTGCACATTGAATGACAAATTGCATTTGAATGTTATATACAAAACCCGGTGTAACTAGTCTAAGCTTATACCTCGTTTATCAATAATGAGGATTAGGTTTCAACCAAGACTAACTTGAGTCCGCGTTAAACTTGAAACTTGGATTAGTTACTCTATGTTTTTTTTCTGTACGTTGAATGACAAATTGCATTTGAATGATATCAACAAAACACGGTGTAAGTAGTCCAAGCTTATACCTCGTTTATTAATAATGAGGATTAGGTTTAAACCAAGACTAACTTGAGTCCGCATAAACTTGAAACTTGGTTAAGTTACTCTATGTTTTTTTTCTGCACATTGAATGACAAATTGCATTTGAATGATATGTACAAAACCCGGTGTAACTAGTCTAAGCTTATACCTCGTTTATCAATAATGAGGATTAGGTTTAAACCAAGACTCACTTGAGTCCGCGTTAAACTTGGAACTTGGATTAGTTACTCTATGTTTTTTTTCTGCACATTGAATGACAAATTGCATTTCAATGATATTAACAAAACCCGGCGTAACTAGTCTTAAACCAATTAGGTTTAAACCAAGACTAACTTGAGACCGCGGTTTACTTGGAACTTGGATAAGTTACTCTATGTTTTTTTCTGTATATTTAATGACAAATTGCATTTGATGATATGAACAAAACCCGGTGTAACTAGTCTAAGCTTATACCTCGTTTATCAATAATGAGGATTAGGTTTAAACCAAGACTAACTTGAGTCCGCGTTAAACTAGAAACTTGGATTAGTTACTCTATGTTTTTTTTTCTGCACATTGAATGACAAATTGCATTTGAATGATATGAACAAAACACGGTGTAACTAGTCCAAGCTTATACCTCGTTTATCAATAATGAGGATTAGGTTTAAACCAAGACCAACTTTAGACCGCGTTACAGAATAAGGCGAAATGAGTTTATATATTATACTCTTTATTGTATCATATATTTGACGACCTCCGTGGCCGTGTGGTTTGTACGCCGGGTTTCATGGCGTTGCCGACTCGAGAGGTCCTGGGTTCACATCCCGGTGGGGGCAGATGTTTGTGTGATGAACACGAGCATTTGTACTCCAGTCATGGATGTTTAATAATGTATTTCTATATAAATATACTTATATATGTTCAGTATTTATATTCTATCCGTTACCCTAGCATCCCATAACACAAGCCTTACAGTGCTTACTTTGAGGCTTGGCTAATTGGTGTGAGTGTTAGAAATATTTATTTATCTATACTTAGTTCAAAACAGAAAATCAAATACATAGTCAGCAAAGGTGGGCTTATCTCTTAAAGAGATCTCTTCCAGCCAACCTAGGTGGTGTCGGAGATTCCAAACATAGCGGGGAACAGAAAATGCAATAAAAATTAAACTACTTTAATATCCTTACCTAACAGGTTTCGGCGGGGTATGTTTTGCCGCAGTCGCCAAATGTCTCCTGCCAAAATTAAAAAAAAATCTTTATTCAGATTGGATGCACAATACAACTCTTTCGAACCGTCCATATTTTTCCCCTACCACCAGTTAAGGGCATTTTTTTATCTGTGAAGAAGAACTGGGGAAAAAATCTTAATTATGTAAAAATATTTACAAAACATTATATTGTTACGGTGTCAATAGAAAATCATATCATCTTCTTCATAATTATAGAAAAAGCCTGCCGGAACGTTTGCAACAGTTTAAACCCAAGCATTTTTGTCTAAAATACATACTAGCGGCCCGCCTTAGCTTCGCTTCGGTGTAGAGCTGAAGTGTAGACTACACTTCAGCTCTACACCGAATTACTCTCTACTTCTTATAGCTGCACGCAAAGTCTCAGCCTGATCAGTTTAAAATTGACAAAGTTTCATACAAACTTTCATTCCCTATTTTATCCCCTTGGTGGTAGAATTGATCAAAATCCTTTCTTAGCGGATGCCTACGTCATAACATCTACCTGCATGCCAAATTTCATCCCGATCCGTCCAGTGGTTTGGGTTGTGCGTTGATAGATTACTATGTCAGTCAGTCACCTTTGTGTTTTATATGTATAGATAATCAGACATCTTATTATACTAATAAGAACTTTTTTAATAGCAGCTTCAAATTTATTGACGCTTAATTGTTGAAGTGAAACTTCTTTAGGCACTGACTTGGGGGGTAAACTGGCGAATGTGTTACGATTTCGCGTTACGATTAGTGTCATCGGTGACTCATCGGTAAACAATGAACAATACCCGCCACAAATACATGAATCTAGTGCTAAATGGGTGATAACCGACCCAGCGCGGATTGGTGGGTGATAACGGACCCAGGGCAAATTGGTGGGTGATAACGGATCCAGCGCAGACTGGTGGGTGATAACGGATCCAGCGCAGACTGGTGGGTGATAACGGATCCAGCGCAGACTGGTGGGTGATAACGGATCCAGCGCAGACTGGTGGGTGATAACGGATCCAGCGCAGACTGGTGGGTGATAACGGAACCAGCGCCGATTGGTGGGTGATAACGGACCCAGTCGGGATTGGTGGGTGAAAACGGATCCAGTGGCGATTGGTGGATGATAACGGACCCAGCGCAGATTGGTGGGTGATAACGGACCCAGTGGGGATTGGTGGATGATAACGGATCCAGCGCAGACTGGTGGGTGATAACGGAACCAGCGCCGATTCGTGAGTGATAACGGACCTAGCGTGGATTGGTGGGTGATAACGGACCCAGCGCAAATTGGTGGGTGATAACGGACCCAGCGCGGATTGGTGGGTGATAACGGACCCAGTGCGGATTGGTGAGTGATAACGGACCTAGCGTGGATTGGTGGGTGATAACGGACCCAGCGCAAATTGGTGGGTGATAACGGACCCAGCGCGGATTGGTGGGCGATAATGGACCCAGTGCGGATTGGAGGTTTTTTTTCTATTAACAAATCTTCAGGTTAAGTTCATGATTTTCAGATCAAGGGAGCTAAAGAAGTTTATCTTCAGTCGTGTGGTCATAAGCACACTCGCTTTTTGAAGTGAAAACTTCTTTAGTGGCGTTGTACACTTTTTTATGTATTGGTAAAAAATGTTAAACTCGCGTCAGGTTAAACACGTGGGCTGTTCGCATCATGACACACAATAAAATTGGAAAGGTTGTTGACTTTCAATATATTGGACGAAACATAGTAATATTTTATTTTACCGTATTATAATAATAAGTCTCTATCTAGGACGTCCACGTGGCAGCTTTATTGCGAATAAAAAGGAATTTTTTTACAATAGATATCGCTAGGTGCGCTTAAATGTGATTCATGTAAGTTAATTTCTTTACAATAGATGTCGCTAAGTGCGCTTAAACGTGATTCATGTAAGTTGATTTTTCTGAGAGATAAACTTTTTTAATGTAATATAAATTGTCATGTTTGTGTACGATAGCGCAATAAATAAGTATTGTATTCTACTACATACATGATAATACTTTTATACTGATAATTGAAGCAATTCGTGCAAAATTATTCCCCAACCATTCCAAAATATCAAAAATGCACGAAGTGCAACCCGTCGTTTTTTTTATTATTGGATATTGCTAGGGACTTAATTGTAGAAGCGTACACAAATACCTTTAAATGAATTATTGATTTTAATCATACTTACTCACCTGTACTTATAAACACTCGGGAACTGTTTATCACACTCCACGCAGTAGGCCAGCTCTGTACGGTTATCGGCTCGTATCTTTTGCGGGTGATACATTCGATAATGGTTCTCCAATACGTGGTAATGAGCGTAGGTTTTGTTGCATTCTAGACAGGTGGCTGGAGTATGGTGGCGTCTAAGGAGAGAAATTACCATTGACTTTTGAGGTGAATTCATAGGAAATTTAATTTAAGAAAAACCCTATCCAAAGGTCAAAAAACATATTGACGATTCGTAAGAACTTTTAGTGCCGCCGCACACGGGCCACACGCCACAGCCACAAACGCCGCTACGAGAAGATAGAAGCGGCTACTAAAGTGGCTGAAGCGCGCGACAGCGGCCGACTAAGGCAAGGGAGAGAGGGGTGGGGTATCGCGCGAGTGACGTGTGGCGGCGTTTTGTATCGGCGCATTAAGTGGCCGGTGCGGGCCACAAGAAGCGAGCAACGACCATTTGTAGCGTGTGGCGGCCACCGGCGTACCGTGTGTGGCGAGTCCATATAAAATGTATGAAAACTACAAGAAATATGCCGGCGGCGGCGTTTTGTGGTTGTGGTCGGTGGCCCGTGTGCGGGGATACTTAGAGAGTATATTTGAATTCTATCAAGGACTTCCAATCAAGTTCAATTGCATAATCTACAACGTGAAATTAAAATAACGCATTAATTGAATGTTTCAGTATCGGCAAAAAAGTTTCGATTTTAACATTTTGGTTTTGGGCGCAACTGGGGCCAACGTCTCAATGTATTCATTGTAAACAATGTTGCTGAAACAACACGTAAGTGTATACAGAAAGAAAGTTGGTGTTTACAGAAACAAAGTTTCTGGAACTTCGCCGTCCTCATCTCAGTTGTTTCAATGAGATACTTTATTTATTTAATATAATTTAAAAAAAAATTAACATGCTAAATGTTTAAATCTGAAGAAAATATTACTAGAAAATATTCCACGTGGACCAGGCATCAGACGGTACTCGAACCCGCACCCTTGGTTATCCGGGCGAATGCACTGACCATTATGCTACCGCGGCCTTGACGGCCGTGTCGAATTCTACACTGACCATTATGCTACCGCGGCCTTGACGGCTGTGTCGAATTCTTTCTAGTATTTCTTATGCTGCAAGGCAGCGCCATCTCTTCGCATTGTAGGTAGAGTCTGTGCGGGAAGAGAATGGGCGTGGCGAAAAACGGAACCACCATTAAGATTTTTATTTGGCCATCAAACCCAGCAATCTATAAAACGTGAAAGTTTTGTATTGATACGGATTTGTTTGTTGTTGTGATTTCTTGCGGTTTTTTGTATTTAATCATGTCTAAAAGGGGTAAAACCTTACAAATACGGTAGAAAAGCACCACAGCGCCCTCCAATCTAAATCTTATTCTCTTTCCGCACAGACTCTGACCCTCATTTTTTTATATTTTTGTAGTATTTCTTTTTTTAATGTAATTTTCTTTATATAATAATATTCAATAATAAATTGTACTCACTTAATGTGCACTTCTAACGTTCGTTTCTTGATGAAACTTTTGCCGCAGTGGTCGCATATGATTCTCTCGTGCCTTTGCTTGTAGTGCTCGCTGAACTCCTTCAGAGTTCTGAATGTATGGAACATACATAAGAATGAATGATAAAGTGACTGGAATGAGTTCGGTTACGTTTTGTGCGTCGCCGAAGTGGCCAATGTACTACACTCGTTAAATTACATTAAGTTTAAATAGAGAAATATAGTTCAGCAACAATATCTAATGTGGATTCATATATTACTATAATATTACTAGCTGTCCCAGCGAACTTCGTACCGCCATAAAAAAATAGAGGTTGGTGGTAGAAGGGTGAAAATTTAGGGTTGTATGTATTTGTGTATGATGTATCATAAAAAAATAAAATATGGGTGCGTGTACTTAAGTCCGCGCGTGAGAAGTTATACTTCTTTTTGGAATTATTAAAAAATAGTTTTTAATTGCATGCAGATAATTAATTACAATAAGATAATAAAAGGATTGGAAAAGGATAGTCAACGCAGTCAATAAAGTTCAGTTTTAATTTGAAAAATTTAATAAATAATCAAAATATTCAATTTAAATCACTACTGAATTTAAGTTATTATATATGTAATTAGCACTTGTAAGTAACTAAAACACGTTGTGTCTATATAGAAACTAGAAACATGTGGATAAATATTATAAATATGAAAACAGTGATCAGAGGCGACGAGCGTGCCAACATTGTTTTTGACAACGCGATCATCTTATGGAGCTCCGTGGATCGTTCAAAGTACCTTTCGAACAGATGTCTAATAATGGTGGATTATTAACCACTAAGTGGTTAATAATCCACCATTATTAGACACTAACATTCATAACGCGCCCGCGGCCAACTTCATGGTGTTACTATTGTGTTACAGTGATGCGCGCGCATCTCGAAATTTCACTCACATGATTTTTTCATAACGCGCCCGCGGCTAACTTCATTATGTTACTTTTGTGTTACAGTGATGCGCGAGCATCTTAAAATTTCACTCTCATATTTTTTTCATAACGCGGCTAAAGAAATATAACTTCAAAAATTATCTAAAATTGAAAAAACAAAAATTAGGGTTGGATTACCCTTAACATTTAGAGGGATGAAAAATAGATATTGTCCTATTCTCAGACCTACCCAATATGCACACAAAATTTCATGAGAATCGGGAAAGCCGTTTCGGAGGAGTTTAACCACAAACACCGCGACACGAGAATTTTATATATAAGATAAAGAGGAAAGGTTTGTATGTAAGTATGTTTGTAACGAATTGGCTCGAAAAATACTGGACCGATTTGAAAATTTTTTTACCATTTGAATGCTACATTATCACTAATTAATATAGGCTATAGGGTATTTTCAAAAAAGTTAGGGTTCCGTATGAAAACTTTCATAATGTAACCCGACGTGTGTAAAAAATACCTAAAAATAGCCTTATATCGCGTACGCTGCGGAAGTCATTGACAATAGAGTAAAGTGATGTACTAAAGTTTTATAGAGGATACCAATATCTACAAAAAAGTCCGCGATACCATATGTGTAACTATTAGAGTTATGTCACAACTAGAGGTCCTCTGCGATTTCATCCGTGTTAATTTGAAAAAAAAAAGGTTTATTAAATAAAACTAGTTTTTACGGGTTAATGCACGAAACTTTATTTATTTATTGACGTTTCGTAGCCTTTACAGGCTACGTCGTCAGAATCAAATTTTATTTAAATTTGGCGAGCTACCTTCGAAAGACTTTTTATTGAGCGTTCGGTTATTTCATTGTTCGATTTTAAAAAAAAATATTGTCTATGTATGAATTTATTACTTAATTTAGTTAATAAAGTACTTTATTTAAAATTCTTTTTGTAATTTTGAGTTTATTTATTTGACCCTAACTACCGTAAACTACCACCGGTTCCAAAATTGGGAGACCTTCCTGAGAAGAACCGGCGAAAAAAACTCAAGAGAGGCTTTCTATCTCCTTCTCATGTTAAATTATGCAAACAAAAAGAACTAACAGTATCTGTTGGTCTTGCAGTGTGTGCTCGAGGTTGGGATTTTATCTCCTGTATAATAGGTTCCCAAGCTTGTGGTATATACCAACCATCTTCCCTATTGAAATTTGGATATTTTTTAATCTCAATAGCCTCGCGTATCATACTAGGAACAAAAAGTTGCTCAGTTGCAAGGATCTGTGGTTTATCAAATCTAATGTAATGGTTTGGTCCCCCTAACGCACATTCACACACATTGACGAAACGTCAATAAATAAATAAAGTTTCGTGCATTAACCCGTAAAAACTAGTTTTATTTAATGAGTGATGTGCGTGAAAACCTAAGAAACAAATAAGGTTTATTAAGTCAAACTTAAAACATAGACATAGGCTATAGTGGGCTTTTTTACAGAACTTTTAAAGGTGAAGAATTCCGTCATACATGATTTTTGTGTAACTTTAACCGTTTATCCAGCGCACGCGACGGAATCTCACAAATGGAATATTTTTACCCGTTTTTGCAACATTTTTCATCGATGCTCCGCTGCTACTAGTCGTAGCCGGGTAATATATATCCTCGATATATGCACTGTCCAATACAAAGAGATTTTTTTAAATCGGAACAGCAGAGCAATGTTGCATTCGGTACAACGGGTCCTAAACTACGCAACAATTTTTTTACTTGGAATGGAAGGTTTATAATAATTATGAAGAAGGTCATTGTGTATAATACAAGCCTTTGAACAAAAACTATAGTCTACACTTCAGCTCTACACCGAAGCAAAGCGAGGGCGGGCCACTAGTATATTAGGGGCCGTTCAAGTATTACGTAAGTACTATAGGGGGGCAGGGGGGTCTTCGCTTTGCTTATTTTTGATGACATGGGGGGGGGGGGGGGGGGGGGGGAGTCGAGATAGTCATTACGTCGCATCATGGATTCGGGTGCCATGTACTGAAGACTGTTAATTGGAATAATTAATATGTATACCAAAAATTCGAAAGAAGTGTGTTTAGTTCATAATAGTACCTACTTAATAAGATTATATATTTGTACCTTTCTCTATGTTGAATACTGTAAGTTTATTTAAATTAATATTAAGCCTATGTAAATACTGCTGCTCATGAAGCTCATGAAATAATAAAAAAACAGAATACATTAAAGGAAAAATGCATATAGGTAACAATGTTTACGTAAGCATGGGGGAGGGGGGGGGGTGTAAGAGCTTTGCTTACTTTTGCTGACGAGGGGGAGGAGGGGGTAAACAATTGTAATAAATCTGCTTACGTAATACTTGAAAGGCCCCTTATAAACCCAGCGACCGCCACATTGAATGGTCCTTCGAGCCGGATCACAGACCGACCGATCGATCAAGAACAGATCTCACTGTAAGTTCTAACGGTCAGTTTGATGCCTGACCCACGATAAGTTTATTTTCTTACAACCATTTAAAAGGAGCTCGATGGCGCAAGTGGTTAGCGCGTTCGGCTGCGATCGTTGAATTTAAGCAACTTTCGCAGTGGTCGGTCTTTGGATGGGTGACCAAAAATCTTCTATCTCCCGCGTGGTAGATCATGGCCCAATCTCCCTATTCCATTCATAGGGAAGGCCTAAGCCCCAGCAGTGGGGACATTAATAGGCTGATGATGTTGATTTTAAAACAATAAGGTAGATTTTTGCTTCAATGTTTGTATTCCGGCATAACAAACTTGAGTTTCTTCTCAACAATCATATTTGACGTGACTTTGCCGCCTTCAATATGCCACACATGGTCATAGCCCAATCTCCCTATTCCATCGATAGGGAAGGGCTGTACCCCAGCAGTGGGGACATTAATAGGCTGATGTAGATATTAATTTTAGATTGTAAGTAAAAAAATTGTATGCATGCCATAAATGGTAAATGTGCAGTACTTATCATATATTGTCACCTTTCTGTTTATACTACGTTTGCGCAAATGAAGAAATGAATTATGAATTATATATGTTTCAAGGTGTCGCCTACTCGAGAGGTCTCGGGTTCGAATCCCGGTGGGGGCAGATGTTTGTGTGATGAGTACGAGCATTGGTACACCAGTCATGGATGTTAAACATGTATCTAATATATAAAATTCTCGTGTCAAGGTGTGCGTAATTGTACTACTCCGAAACGGCTCGACTGATTTTCATTAAATTTTATATGCATATTTAGTAGGTCTGAGAATCGGACAACATCTATTATGCATCCACCTAAATGTTAAGGGTGGTTCACCCTTAAATTTTTTTAGGACCAATTTTTTTTATGATGCATCATACAAAAATACATACAACCCTAAATTTTCACCTCTCTACCACCAACCCCTATTTTTTTTATGGCGGTACGAAGTTCGCTGGGACAGCTAGTATACTTATAAATGTATTTGTATTCTATCTGTTACCCTAGTAACTATAACACAAGCTTACAGTGCTTACTTTTGGGCTAGGCTAATTGGTGTGAGTGCTGGCAATATTTATTTATTATTTATTGCTACCAATACTTACCGGCTAGTGACGTCACACGTGTTACAGCAATACACAGTAGTGTGCACCCTGTGGTGGTGGGTCGTCATCGCGGCCAACGAGTGTGACACCCACTCGCATCTGTCACACCTGTAGTAACCGTTGTGTTTCTTCCAGTGCTCATGGAGGGAGTCCCATGAGCGTATTGTCATTTTACACTGTAAACATTTCGTGGGAAACGTAGGCTGAAACGAAAGAAGTTTATTGCAATCAGAAGCTATATTATTATATATATGACGACCTCCGTGGCCGAGTGGTTTGTACGCCGGGTTTCATGGTGTCGCCGACTTGAGAGGTCCCGGGTTCGAATACCGGTGGGGGCACATGTTTGTGTGATGAATACGAGCATTTGTACTCCAGTCATGGATGTTTAACATGTATTTCTATATAAATATATTTATATACAGGGTGTCCCAAAAAGTAGTGTCAAGCAGTAGTCCCGGGATAGAACACCCCTTGGGGAATCCGAAACACCCCCATGTATGTTCCGCGATTTTTTATAGTTTGCGAGTTATGAATTTTTTACTAAAATTTTGAGAATTAATGACCTAAACAACTTAAAAATTTAATAAAAAAATTGGATAAGTCTTTTCCGAGATATTTTATTTGCAACTCAATTTACATGAATTGTACTTAAATGACTAATACCTTCGTCTTTGCAACTATGATGGAAGTTTAAAAAATATTTTTGGGACACCCTGTATGTACAGTATATGTATTCTATCCGTTACCCTAGTATCCCATAACACAAGCCTTACAGTGCTTACTTTGGGGCTAGGCTAATTAGTGTTTTGTTAAAAAAAAAATCTAAAAATTTTTTGTAGCGAAACTGTGGAAGGAATGTTATGTAAATGGAAAAATCCTATGGAAAAGATGAAGCGGAAATGCGTCACACGACTATATGTATATATGATATATATGTATATATATACGTAAACTATATGAGGAGCTGGCGAACAAAACGGTATAATTACGCACGTGGTTTTGACCATCTAATACTTTACTTTTACAGGTTGGAGGTTTTGGGCCACGAAGGCACGTTGAGCCGTTGGTCCCGGCTACATCTGCAGTCATTAGCGCCCACCGATTAGTACTTTACCCGTGTGGTGGGTCATGGGTCTCCCTTTTCCATCAATAGGGAAGGCCTTTGCCCCAGCAGTGGGGACATTAAAAAGCTAATGATGATTATAATGATGAATAATGACGTCGCAGGCCCAATGCAGTTATAGGGTGTATTCCGAAATATACATCAGTATACTGGCCAGTGGTAATGACGTCACGAATCCGACGCCATATTGTACTGATATACTACCATATTTTTACCGGTAAAACGAAAATAACGTGTGACCGAGCGTGCGTAAGATGCATTCGAATTTTATTTCTTTTTTATTTAAAGAACAATAATGGCATATGAACAAAACGAATTCTTTTTAATTGGTTTTATTTTAATATTTCGTCGATCGATTTGTGACGTCAGTGCACTAGCGAGTATATTTCGGAACAATTCACCAGTATAGCGTCGATTCATGACGTCATTAGCACTGACCAGTATACTGGTATATATTACGGAATACACCCATTATATTGCTATCAATACTGACACGAGACTTCAAATGTTAAAATTAAAAAAAAAAACTCCAGACACAGCCTAGTTAATATTGCTATCAATATTGTTGTACCTCATACAAACACTATTTGTATTTTTACTGTAGAAATTTGAGTAGACATTGTATCGGTAGCAACATGATTGTCTGTAACTGTGGCTATTTAATAGGCTGATGATGACCTTACCTTTGTATGATTAAATGTTACATGTCTTCTCATATCTACACCTCTCTTATAAGAACTCTTGCACACACTGCATTTGTGCGGTAACTTAGTACCACCTAACCTCCTTTTATCCCTAGTCAAAATATCGTCAATTTCCTTCTCAGTAAGGATTACTTTGACAAAGAGCTTCTTCAAATCATCTTCGTTGACATCCAACGTTTTCACCGTAGCTTTACTTGCATATTTTTTGATGCTTTGGTTTTTTTTATTGTTACGTTCATTGATTTTAATATTATATTTTGTTTCGTTGATTTTAATTTCTTGCTCCTTCTTTATATTGTCTTCTATTATTTCTAATTGTTTGAGTTTGTTAAAGTCTATGGTTAATAATTCGTTATCGCTGTACGAGTCGTCAATGACCAACTGATTGGAGTCATCATCAGAGTCGGTATTCTCCTGTTTGATGTACGTTTTGATGTCCTGTTTGGCATTTTTCTCTTCCTGAACGATTGGTTCTTCGTAGACAATTGAATTATCATAGAACTTTTTGGTAGCTGTCGATAGATTCGAGAGTGATTTGCCTGCAAGATCTTCCTACAAAACAATTAACAATAAAAATAGATGGAATATACTGAGCGCAATGGTGAATTAAAATTTTGTTCAATTTCTTTTTTTTTTCAATTTTGTTTTTCAGCTAAGGCTGTTACAGGCAGTTGTGAAAGAAGACAACAACGACCTATGTGGCCGAGTGGTTTGTACGCCAGATTTCAAGGTGTCAACTACTCGAGATGTTCAGACCCCATACCGCCCATCACTAAACGAACTTCCACGTGCCTTTTCGACAGATATATAATACTTCTAGGATATCTAATAAAAAAAATAACCTAAATAGTACCTGACTAATATTCATAATAAAAGACAAAAATAGACTTACCAAGTCATACAGAGATTGTTGCAATATAAACTGTGCATGCTGTATTCGATTTTGGAAGGTCCTAATATTCTTGAGATGGGCAACACATTCCCAACATAGCAACACTTGTGTTGTCTGTGAAAATTAAAAAATACAGTATAAAGTGCAGTTTAACCACTCTTCCTGCTGCCCCTAGTAAACTTACGCCTCTAGCCATGGCCACTTTTGCTTCTAGAGTAAATTGGCCTCCAGTGTCAGAGTACCATAAAAATCATTCCCGATTATTCCACGAATAAGTTACTTATGAGAAACCTTAATAAATTGCTTCGGATCTGGGTGCTTAAAGTATATTTGTTGTTTTTCAGTTGCTAATCACAAATGCTAAGTTGAAAACTTTGTGATCATTCATGATATCTTGTCTAACATTTTATATCAATTGATAATAGTTAAAATATTATGCGAAACGTATGAAACTTACATAAAACTCTTGTTGGACTCCCAAAAGATTCAAAAACACATCTAGGTTATTGCTTAGCAGGACTATTTTCCTATCTGTGCTGAGACAACCGTAGCAAATGGACACCCCTTTGCATTCCAACTTAACAGAGAACATGGCTGATAATAAATAATCACATTATTGATAAAATAAATATGTTTATTTCAGCAAAATAGCTTGAAATCGTGAATTCGTGCACTGAGCATAAACAAAACAAACTGTCAATGTCAAAGTATTTCTGTTTTTTTTTTTTTAGTTCTATTCTTCTCTATTGAGAAAGGCAAAGGCATAGCCATGCAGCCATCGTCTTATTTTTGTATTAATCTTCCTTTTTTTTACATTAGAATGTGGGTGTGACGCATTCTAATGCTTCTCGGAGTGTTTGGCACGAAATATATCGAGTTGGTTTTTTCGATAAGCTTCTGTGAGGTAGTCAATACTACAATAAAATTCTCACGTCCACTTGACCGGAATAGCGTATATTTTAAAGATTCCACTAATTCTTCAGTTGCCCAGACGGTTGTAACACAAAATCACACCAATTTTATTTCACAATATCCACTATGAACAAATTTAAGAATAGTTAAATTAGGACGCCAACCGCACTCGATGAAATCCCGCCAAAAACTCCAAAAGTATTTTTGATTGAATTTTCTCTTATTTAAGGTAAAGGTTGGTTTATGATTCATACAGCCTACTCTTCAGTATTTTTTCTTGATTAACATTGCTCCATCATCATAGAAAACAACACGGCCGGGTCTCACATCGTCATTCAAAGATACGTAAAGACTATGGTATCGATTCTGGCATGATTCTCTAAAGCTAAAATTAAATTTGACAACAGTGTATCTCTGTCATTCTCTATACAGACTGAAAAGGACAGACTGATGTCAAATTTAGTTTTAAGCTTAGAGAATCCTGCTAGAATCGACACCTATTTGTATTTAAAATAAAAACAGAAAGAATCAATCAACCTACTGAATTTATAAGGATGTATGCATATAATAACTTTTGTCTTCAAGTAAGTTTAGAAATTTAAAAAAGATAATGTCAGTAATGATTCCATTCCATAGAGTAGATAGACTAAATCTGGCTATAGACAGAACCAAGAAGCTTATATACAACACTGGAGTTTGCAGTGCAAACAATACCTTGAAGTGAGAAAATATGGCCTTGAATGACGTCACATATGTTTGTTATCTCTTTCTAAGGGTGACCATGTTGGAATATACGTTTAGGATACATACTTACTGGTATCGTCTTTAAACAATTTATAAATCAAAGCGTTGGAGTTGATAGGAACTTGGGAACACATTATTTAATAGTAATAAAATTCACAAGTACAAAAATCTTTTTATTCATATTAGATGCGTCTTATATTATGCAATGTCAAAAACGTTTATAAAAAATTAACGAGAAAGAATATGCAAACCCCTTTTAAAATCGCCAGAAATGCCTTTTACTAAGAACGGACTAGAAACTCTAAGCTACATATTTTGGCTGATAAATAAAATTGACCTTTTAATGGTATTGTTACGTGTCGGGATGGGGTGCGAAATTATATGCCAGTTCACGATTGACAGTTGTTTATTCACCACACAGTTCACACAATTAACACACAATGTTAATTACAAAACGAGTGTTTTGTTTAGTGAGTACTAAACACTGTATTTTACTGTACAAATCTCTAAACAACCTCACTTGAACACTTTTGTTGCTCTTTGATCGCCTTTGGATTCGCTCCGAAATCGCTGTTGAAACTCAACTGTCGCTGCGCGGCGCGCCAATCGCCCTTATATACGCCGATCGATGCATTCTAGAAAGTAAATAAATAAATAAATATTTCCAACACTCACACCACTTAGCCTAGCCCCAAAGTAAGCACTATAAGGCTTCTGTTATGGGATACTAGGGTAACGGATAGAATACATAAACTGTACATATATAAGTATATTTTTTTTATAGAAATACATATTAAACATCCATGACTGGAGTACAAATGCTCGTATTCATTACACAAACATCTGTCCCCACCGGGATTTGAACCCGGGACCTCTTGAGTCGGCGACACCATGAAACCCGGCGTACAAACCACTCGACCACGGAGGTCGTCAAAAGTCGAAGTTCTAGAAAGTACCTGTTAAATTGAGAATTACCTAGCACCCGCGAGTACGAAATACCTACTTATACCTACGCAAGTAACACGCATAACTTGTAAACAAGTGCAGATATCGTTTTTTCTCTCTTTTACGTCGCACTGCATAAGGCTCATTTTAGAATGAGCCGCCTTACTCGACTTCTATTGCGACCCGCGGTGCTCTGGCAAATTCGATCTCTAGCACATTCGCGGTTCCGTTTCGAGAGCGTTTGTGACAGTATAATGGACAACCAAGAATTGCTTTTAATGACATCTTTCGGGAAGCGGAAACATAAACAAAGGTATAAGATCGCTGCTAGATAGCTGTTATTAAATAGGTTTTCTACATCTAATCAACATGATCTACTACAGTACTTATTATAAACTTATTTTCATATTTTGAACTTTGTAATTAATATTCACAATAATACTTATGTATTATAACTTTCTCAAAATATCTCAAGTGTAGTGATAATGGTTACCCTACAAAATCAAAATTTATATTATTTTAATTTAATAAACTGCTGAATATGGTACCAAATGTAGTGAATAAAACAAGAATAACGTTAATTTATAGCCTCAGGACACTATGATTTATAAATACTAACGTTTTATTATGATTACAACATAAAAATATAGGAATATGTTTATTTCGGTATTGGCGTAATGTAATAGACTTACCTGTGAAATTTAGTGCTGGAATTTGGTTCCCAAACACTTCTGCAATCTCACACAACACAATACATATTATAAATAGCAAATTGAACAATTTAACACTTTTTAATAATAATCTAAACATTCGAAGCGGTACATTTTTTTTGACAGATCGGAGATATTCTTCAGTTGATTTTTTAATAAGTGTTGCTATTATACCAAAATGGTAGCAACCAGCAAACAGGGAAATAAAGGGCGTATTTATTATTTAGTTTTAAATATTGATTTCAAAGTAGTTGGTTAGAATTTGTCACACTCATCTTATAATAGTAATACAAGAGTAGGACTTCTGGAGATTGTAAAACTGATTGATATCTTGCATAGTTCTGTTTATTTTCACTTTCTGATTGGAATTTCTTGTATTTAACATGGTAATTTCAGATAGTGTGTGAGAGAGATAAAAAACATATCATGGGGTTAATGAACTCATCTTCATACAGAAGTTCTACATGCAATCTCCAGTGTTGTATATAAGCTTCTTGGACAGAACTCTAATTTGAAAATAGTTTATCTCTATCTTAATTTATGAAGAATGAAAGGGAGAGCCTGCTGTCAAATTTATTGCATGAAGCATGCCTCCCATACATGTGTGTGCTTCTATGTTATTGTTTATGTTTGTGAGTTACTTTTTATAAACAAGAAAATACGTTCATAATGTTCGAAGCGGAGATAGAAACTAAAAAGGAATTAAATATTAGATTCCAATGCATAACCTGCCTCAGTTTTGGTCGTAAAATGCTCACAATTGGCAAATATTCGCGTACAATGTCTGCTTTGCTACCTGAACATTGTTTCCAAGTAAGATTTTTTTGCATTATTATAAATTAGTAATTACTTGGCCTATTAACATAAAACAAAGAGCTGTAGTAATTTTCTAGACACCTTTTAAGTCTTGTTCCTGCTGTGCAAATAAAGCTTTTTAATAAACTTCATTTATTATGCCCCTGGTTTAAATGCATAAACATTTAAATACATTCAAACGTTAAATTTGCTACAAAATAAATGGACGGAAACAGCCACAGAACAAAAAAAAAAAAAAATCCATTTGACGCCAACTTATGTTCAATTGCTGAAGTCTTTAATTACGTACATGCCTAGGTAGCGCAATCCAACTAAACCATGCAAAGAAAACTGCTTATTTTACAAAATGTGTGAGTGAAAACCATATCAACCAGACTTACTTAGTAGATGTTTTTTCGACCCTTGGTGTGCAGTTTATACAGCATCTAGGCATGTCTTTAATCAAAGCCTGCAAGCACCCAAATCGAGGAGCTCAATGGCGCAGGTGGTAGCGCGTATGTCTGCATTCGTTGAAGTTAAGCAACTTTCGCAGTGGTTGGTCATTGGATGGGTGACCAAAAATCTTCTATCTAGAGTTAAGCCGTTGCTCCCGGCTGCATCTGCAGTCGTTAGGCGCCAATCTGCACTGGACCCGCATGGTGTGTTATGGACCGATCTCCCTATTCCATCCATAGGGAAGGCCTGTGCCCAAGCAGTGAGGACGTTAATAGGTTGATGATGATGGAGCACCCAGATTAAAAGATGTTCTTTACTTTTACTCTTAATTAATTCATCATATATTTCGCAGTTGCCTTTTGAAGACACTTTGTTGTGTTGGGAGTGTCACGCGTTGGTGAGACGTGTGGCCCTGTTTCAAGAACAGATACAGAGGGCCAACAATCTTTTGCGGAGTGGTCAGGTTAGTAATATTCAAATTCAGTAGCTATTTCTTCTTTTAAATGTTTAATACTTGTTAAGGTATTCATTTGACATTGTGGTTTACCTACAATGTGAAGAGATGGCACTGCTTTGCAGCTTAAGAAACACTAGAGAAAATTCGACATGGCTGTCAGGGCTGCGGTAGTATAATGGTCAGTGCATTCGGCCTGATAGAGAAGGGTGCCATCTGCTGCCTGTTCCACATATATTTTTTTAAGTAAAATTTTCTTTAGATTTAAACTGACAAAATTTGATTTCAGAGTCGCTTATACGGTACATTATCAAATTTAACTACCGTTATAAGAACAGACACTGAGCCAAGTTCTGTGTACCTCTACAACACCAATATGACGATCAAAGAAGAAGATGAAGTAAAAGAGGACTTTAACGATGAAAACATTGACTCTCCAATACCAGAGTGTGCTGAAATCTGTGAAGATAAAACAGTGAATGCTGGTAAAAGCAAAAGTGAGGTTTCAACAGAAAAAGTCGTAAGCAAAAGGAAATATAAAAATAAGTGGGCCAAAAAACGCGCCTTGCAGAATAGAAAGCCCAAATTCAAGTTGTTGAATGCTAAAGAAGCGCTTATTGATTCCGTGTTTAGAAAAACGATGGATATTAGAAATTCTAAGAGAAATATTAAATGCGATCAATGTAAGTTGGAATTTGAGAGTGAAACCGTTCTAATGATGCATTTCAAGGAAAAGCATGTTAATGTAAGTCCATTTGCTGTACCTCATGAAAAGGAGAGACTGATGTTAAATTTAGCTTTAAGAGAATTATGCCAGAATCAACACCTTACATCATCAACCTATTAATGTCCCCACTGCTGGGGCACAGGCCTTCCCCATGGATTGGAATAGGGAGATTGGGCCATGACCCACCACGCGGGCCCAGTGCGGATTGGTGGGTGCTAACGACAGCAGATGCAGCCGCGACCAACGGCTTAACGTGCCTTCCGAAGCACAGAGGAACTCGAGATAGAAGATTTTTGGTCACCCATCCAATGACCAACCACAGCGAAAATTGCTTAACTTCAACGATCGCAGCCGAAAGAGCTAACCACCTGCGTTATCGAGCTTCTTAAATAATAAATATTTCCATCACACGCCAATTAGCCTCGCCCCAAAGAAAGTACTGTAGGCTTGTGTTATGGGCAGTGCCGTCTTTGACTTATTGGAGGCCCTGGGCATATTAGGATAATGGGGCCCCTGCGAACTAGGGACTCTGTATTTGATCTGAGGGAGACCCCTATCGATCGCGGGGCCCTGGACACTTGCCCAAAGTGCCCACTGGGAGAGACGGGTCTGGTTATGGGATACATCGGTGACAGATAGAATACCTACATAAATAAGTATATTTATATAGAAGTACATATTAAACATCCATGACTGGAGCACAAATGCTCGGATTCATCTTACAAACATCTGCCCCCACTAGGATTCGATCCTGGGACCACTAGTAGGCGACCTTGAAACCCGGCGTACAAACCACTCGGCCACGGAGATCTTCCGTATTTATTAAATTAAATTATACAACACGATGTCAAATGAATACTTTTTCAAGTATTAAACATTTGAAAGAAGAAATAGCAATTATAGTAATGTTTTTATTTATTTTTAAGCATTTAACTGCTAGATGTTTAAATCTAAAGAAAAGTTTACTAGAAAAAAAAATTGTTTACTAGAAAAAAAAAGTTTACAATGCGAAGAGATGGCGCTGCCTTGCAGCTTAAGGCTAGGAAAATTTCGACGCGGCGAATAGGGCCGTGGTAGCATAATGGTCAGTGCATTCGCCCGGATAGCGAAGGATGCGGGTTTGAGTCCTGTCCGCTGCCTGGTCCGCGTGGATTTTTTTTCTAGTAAACTTTTCTTTAGATTTAAACATCTAGCAGTTAAATGCTTAAAAATAAATAAAAACATTACTAAATTATACAACTTTGTTTCAGGAAATTGCTTGCGACGTGTGCTATTCATTATTCTCCGAGAAAACTGACCTCTTATTACATTTGAAAATGCATGAAACAATTTATAATTGCACTTTATGTGAATTTACTGGTAAAACTAAAACCCAAGCTCGTAACCATATGAATAAAAGGCACCCACATATCTTCGTTTGTATCAAGTGTGAGTTGAAATTCCAGTGAGTATCAGAGGATCATTATCAGCCTTATAATGACCCACTGCTGGGGCACAGGCCTTCGCTAGGGATGGTATAGGGGAACAGCCTATGAACCCATTACTCATGCCCAGTGCAGATTGGTGGGTGGTAAAGACTTCAAATGCAGCCAGAATGGCTTAATGTGCCTTCCAAAGCACGGTGAGTGAGAAATAGTAAATTTTTGGTCACCCATCCAATGGCCGACCACTGCGAAAGTAGCTTAACTTTCACGATCGCAGACAAAACGCGCTAACCATTTGTACCATCGATCTCCTCGGCTCAACTGTACTTTCTCGGCCTACGAGTTGGCTTTTCACAGTAGGTTAAGTTAATGATGTGACTTTTACAAGCGAACCCAGCGAGCAAAGCGAGCGTGCCGCTACAGCGACCGGCGAAGCGCCAGTAAACTCCTTGGTTATGAAATAGAGCTTTTCAACGAAAAATTGTTCAGTATCAACTCCTGGGGGTCAATCGCCTATCGGTATTGCTATGGCTATCGCTATCAATTACGATTCCATTTTGTTATTTCTGACCGCAGAAGGAATGCTTCGCGCTCTTTTTTCTTTTGCATTGGTAATAAGAATATTGATGACAATGAGACATTGTTATGTATTTAAAAACCTTTAGTGGTCAGAAATAAAATAACAAATTGAAATCGTGAGCGATAGCGATTGCCATAGCAATCCCGTTAGGCGATTGGCCCCTAAGGCCCAGAAAATACAGTTATCAGCTCCATATATTAGCATTTTGAATGTTAATTACCAGTACAATAGAAAGAGATTCCATGTAAACAGAAGAGATGCATATTTTAATAGCTGACTGTTGACATTGCCGGCGAGAACTCGCTCTACTAGTTTGTCGCCGAGAACAAGAGCTATCAAATAATAGTACTCAAAACTCAAACTCGGTCGGTTCAAATTCAGTCTAGGCTGTTACAAGCTCTTGTGAAAGTCTAACGTTACGCCATCGGTTCGTAATCTACGGCGGGAGACCTTGTACTGAGAAGAACCGGCAAGAAACTCAGCAAGGGCTATTTTTTTCTCCCTGTTTTGTTTCGTACAGTGTCGTCAATAGGGTATTTGACAAGTTTTAGAAAACGATCTCACGTTATTGACTTATGTTTATGGAGTCCGTAAAAAGTGGATATTCATCATTCTGTTGCGTATTTCAGTAAAAATAACCAAATCAAAAACTCCATTTTCAAGTTGCCGCGAAAACGCTTTTCTGGGCAATATGGCGTCTTACTAGCGTGTGACGTCACACGACTGTTATTAAAACGTCAAACGATACAATGTAATGTCACTTTAACCGGAAGTTTACTTGCGTGTGACGTCATTTTAGGCTCCGCCAATCCCAAGCGTTTTGGGTCACGTGACAATAGATAAGGAAACTATTATCTTTTTCGTAAGTTTTTAGTAAAATTATGAATATTTTTATTGTATAAATAGTAAAAATCCCTACCAATATTCATTCTAAACACAGACGCTAACAATTGGCACTTTATTTTTAATACTGTCAAATACCCTATTGAAAGATGACATCAAAAATTGAAAACATGTGTTGATGTCAACTTCCATCACATTAATATTATTAATTAACAAAAGTTAAGTATAGCTGTTCGCTTAGTTAGCTAAGTCGACAGTGCGTGATTGCTCATGCGCATTTTTGTTCAGCCGGCTTATTCGCTAACTGCTTTTGGACAGGTGAAGTTTTAAACATGACGTGACACATTTCCGTTTCATCTTTTCCATAGGATTTCTCCATGTACACCCCACCCCGTCAGAAAAAAAGATTCATTTTGTTTTTATTTTTTAAGCATTTAACTGCCAGAAGTTTAAATCTAAAGAAAAGTTTACTAGAAAAAATTCCACGTGGACCAGGCAGCAGGGTTACCTACGATGCGAAGAGATGGCGCTGCATTGCAGCCTAAGGCTAGAAAATATTCAACACGGCCGTCATGGCCGCGGTAGCTTAATGGTCAGTGTATTCGCCCGGATAGCGAAGGGTGCTGGTTCGAGTCCCGACTGAATTTTTTTTAGTAAACTTTTCTTACGAAGTTTCATCCCAATAAGCGAAATAAATTTAGTATATTGATTGCACAGATCGCGTCGCGAGTTCTTCCAACACTACAAGGAGTGGCACGAAAAGTTCATATGCGACCACTGCGGAGTTAGCTTCAAGATGAGGTACTGCATCAAGGATCATATCCGGTGAGTTTTTTTATTCACTAGTGGCCCGCCCTCACTTCGCTTCGGGGTAGAATTGATCAAAATCCTTTCCTAGCGGATACCTACATCATAACATCTACCTGCATGCATGCCAAATTTCAGCCCGCTCCGTCCAGTGGTTTGGGCTGTGCGTTGATAGATCACTATGTCAGTCAGTCCTTTGAGTTTTATATTATATAGATTTTCACGTTATCAGCCTCTTGAAGAAGAAGAGCCCTTTCACATTTTTTGCAGAAAATCGAAATTTTTGAGCGCCTAGTTTACCCCCTTAGAAAAGATTTTGACTATTTCCAATAAAAGTAAACAGTAGATTTATTCTTCCTATTGTAAGTTAATGTAGAATATTTGCAAATACTATTTTCCTTTTTTTTGTACTGATCGTTCTACCGCAGCTAGTTTACGGAAAAAACGATAATATGCACAACTTCAAACGCCTCAATCTCTCAATAATGTTCAATAAATCAGATCAAATTAATTACTATGACATCAAAAATATGTTTTTGTTGTAACATAATGTATTAGAATATTGATTTTCTATCACATTAATTATCAAAAAAAACATCTAACCTCCGTGACTTTTCCCGAAAAATAATGCAGGTTTACCTCGTATTTTGATATTGAATTAAATAGAATTACTATCACAAACTTTCACAAAAATAATTTACCATCATTGAACTACTGAAATGTGTATATATTTTTATAATAAGTTCATTAATAATTATTTTATAAGACTCGAAACATCACCCGTAAAATGCAATTTATACTAGTGCAAATCTACCTACGCGCCGATTAGTACAACAGCGGCGCAATTTTGTAAAAGGGCTCTTAATAGAAATTAAATCTTAGATCTACTCTTCTACCGTGTAACTGTTGTTGATATTAAGCACAGAACACGGAAAGAGGTTAGAATGGTGTTCATAGACCGTTTGTACGGAAACCGATGTCGCGGCTCCACTACACTTCCACCTAATAGATTATAGCCAATCAAACGACGCGACATCAAACAATCTAACCAATCAGCGTTCACAGCCGAGAGCGTAGACGCGATCAGAACCCAGTTTTGGTCAGGTTATGAGCTTTTGCTCACACATAACTGGGGCACGCCTGCCCCGCACACAAGGCCCTTCTTACCTCTTTCTGTGTTTAATATATTAACTTCTTGTATAATTTAATATTCCAAACTTATCTTATACATATATAAAATTCTCATGTCACAATGTTAGTTACCATACTCCTCCGAAACGGCCTGACCGATTTTTATGAAATTTTATATGCATATTCCGTGGGTCTGAGAATCGGCTACTATCTATTTTTCATATCCTTAAGTGATAATGGTTGTCCACCTGTAACGTAGTGTTTTGAAACCTATAATGCGGCTTCGCGCCTAAATTCAAACTATTGGGTATTGTAACGTAGTGTTCTCTTAAGGGTTAGGAGGAATTTTATCCTAGGAAAGTGATAGAACACTACGTTACACACTCCTAAATTTTTTTTTGGACAATATTTATTTTTTATAATGTGGTATTAAAAAATACATACAACCCTACATTTTCTCTTCTACCACCTGCCCCTATTTTTATGGCGGTACGAAGTTCGCTGGGTCAGCTAGTTTTTGTATAAATTTACATATCTTTTGTTCAGTTTAGACTGGTATAAGCACATATTCAAACTCAAACTCATTTATTCAGTCTAGGCTGTTACAAGCTCTTGTGAAAGTCAAACGCTACGCCATCGGTTCGTAAATCTACGGCGGGAGACCTTGTACTGAGAAGAACCGGCAAAAAACTCAGCAAGGGCTTTTTTTTGTCGCTGTTTTGTTTCATACAGTGTCGTCAATTGAAAGATGACATCAAAAACTGAAAACCTGTGTTGATGTCAAGTTTCGTCACATTAATATTATTAATTAAGAATAAGTTAAGTATACCTAGCTAGGTACATTTTTTTAATTTAGCAGTGGCGATTAAACAATTAATTCTAATGGCGTAGAAAATATGAAATAGAGGTTTTGACAAGTTTTAGGGCACGATTTCACGTTATTTACTAATGTGTGTAGAGTCCATAGAAAGTGGATATTCATTATTCTGTTGTGTATGTCAGTAAAAAAAAAAGAGTGTGCTTATGACCACACGATTGAAATGAAACTTCTTTAGCTCCATCTGTATGTATATATCTTTATATATATAATTCTTCTGTGAGTGTGTATGTCACTGAACTTCTCTTAAACGACTGGACCGATTTTGATGAAAATTTTTGTGTGTGTTCAAGGGGATCTGAGAATGGTTTAGATTCACAATTTTGTCCGCTGGACAATGTTTTTTTAATTAATTTTTAATTTATTAGTAGTTGTTGATTTTGGAATGTTTTACATTGGATCCGACAGACGGCTATGTGTATATTCCTGTCAAACATTTGACGTTCGTCGTTTATCATTTCTTCCAAATTATTGTAAGCAATACGAAGTACGCTGGGTCAGCTAGTGTATATATATGAATGTACATATATTTCATTTACTAGCTATAAGAGAAAGAGAGAAAGAAAATGTGCGCGCTCACTGCTTTCTCCTGCTTATATCCCCCACTTCCGCTGTCCAGGATGAAGCTGAATTCAGGCATGATTCTCTAAATCTAAACATAAATTTGACAACAGTGTCAGTTTCATGGTGTCGCCGACTCGAGAGGTCCCGGGTTCGAATCCCGGTGGGGGCAGATGTTTGTGTGATGAATACGAGCATTTGTACTCCATTCATGGATGTTTCATATGCATTTCTATATAAATAGACTCATACATGTATTCTATCCGTTACCCTAGTATCCCATAACACAAGCCTTACAGTGCCGACTTTAGGCTAATTGGTGTGAGTGTTGTGTTTGGAAATATTTATTTAAATTTATATTAATATTTTACTATAGGAAACAACACTCCCCATTCGTATGCGTGCCTTGCAACAAACAGTTTGCTCGCTACAACGGCCTGTGGTTACACAATAAAGTCCGTCACTGCACACTAGCGCCGCCCGCATACTGCGTGGAATGCGACAAACATTATCCCGACCTGTACCGATACAAGTGGCATTTGGCGAATAGCGCAAAACATAAGCCTAGGAAACGAGTTAGGTAAGTCTTTCGGCGTACCTATTGTGGCGGCGACATCTACATGCCCCATATATAATCCACATGGAGGAAATAGTCACCCCGACGTGATGTTGCTTGACCTAATGAGGAAGGGGCATGAGGAATGATTTAACTCATCCAACTAAGAATAGGACCCACTGGGCGCTATATTTTGACGTCATAGCTGTCAATTCAAACCAAATAGGTAGAGTGAGCAAAAAAAAGTTTCTATTTAATAAAACTTATTTACTTAGATTAAGCGAGAAAAAACATCAGATTTTTTAATAATATTTCTTTATTAAGACTGTGAGAAAAAACATTAATCAGAATCTAGCTCTGTAATTCCGCTCATCTCTGCATTACCGCCGGAGTAGTTATGAATAATCATGCAGGTCACATACGAACATGCATCCTATATGTAAACGAAAGTTTTTAATCGAGTTTCTGAACGCAACTTTAAGTGACATTTGGTTGACGATTTAAGTTATGAACCATCCATAGCCAAAGCTCAATAAATTAAAAAAAAATATCAACCAATATTAATTATCAATATTTATTATTGTTTGTTTAAAAATGTTTTTTCTTAATCTAGAATTAGCTGAGTGCTAAAAAGGTGTTCCGAGTTTTTTTGCAAACCGTACTTTTCATGCGGCAGTTGACAGATGGAGGTCATTGGCTTTCCTATTCTTATTTAAATCGCATTATAAAGGATGTGAAACTTCAATAAATAAATAAAATCAGTGCATGTAACCCATTGAAACTTGTTTTATTTTATGAGTGATGTGCGTGAAAACCTAAGAATCAAATACAAAAATAATTCTTTAATAATCATGTTCTCTTCCAGAGTACCTTGTCCGGACTGCGATAAAGTATTCTCAAAGAATATCTATATGAAAGACCATCACAATTTGATACATTTAAAGCAATACAACTACAGGTGTGAAGATTGTGACAAGGTGACGTGTTAACTTATAAATTTATGAACACCGGCTGCACGCACGAAAAAGTGTCACGTTCCGCTTGAGCCTGAGCGTGCAAGCGAGAGCGCGGAACAAGCGATAGAGAGGCACGATCGGCCCAAGCCGAGGCTTGTACATTTATCTCTCTTCTCGCGTGACGTCAGAGTCAGCAATTGTGCAATTTTTCACCAATGTTTCTTTATGATGTCATCACGTAAAGCTATCGTCCGTGAACCGATTTTACAGACAACCATTATTTAAGGAGCTGGCGAAAAAAACGGTATAATTAAGCATCTGGTCAAAACTACTTATTTTTTACTGTCCGGAGGTTCCGGGCCCGTTGAATTTGAATCTCAAAAAATTTTCAATCAAAACCTCCTAAAACAGTGTTAAAATTACTAAATACGTATGTCATTTAGTTTTATACAACTCTTGTAAAATTTAATTAAATGTAATTATACTGTTTGTTTGCCAGCTCCTCATTTTTGAATTCTGAAGTTTTAGGACTAAAAACAAGTAAGGTATAGTGGCCCGCGTGGTGGGTCACGGCCTGTACTCCTTACTCCACCCTTAGGGAAAGCCTGTGCCTGTACTGATAATATACCAGAATAAAACAATAATGTTGTCAGAAATTGTTTCAGAACTTCATACGGAACGCAGATCTCGTGAAGCACAAGCGACGTGTACACGACGGCATATTGCCGCCTAAGAACAAAATATGCTACGTCTGTGGGAAGGGATTCACTGTGAGTGTTGCCAGTTCCAATAATACAAGTATTGATTTTTTTACTGTTTTATAAAAAATGAGGAAATTAATATTTCCTCCGAGTATGTTCAGACTGATTTTTGTAATTTTCAAATGAAACTTTCAACCAACATAATCACACCACAATATTTTGAAATACTCCTTTCATATTTATGTAATTTGTACATTCTCTTAAGTATTATCTGTTTTTCTTTTAGACCAACAAAATCCTAAGCAATCATCTACGCACGCACAATGGCGCAATACAACAGCCTCGAGACAACAAAACGTAATAACTAAATAAAGATGAATATTATAATTATGAATGCTTTTTAATTTAACCGGTTTTTGATGTGAAATATCTTTTGGAGCACGTACAGCCGATTTTTGGCGAGGCGACGCTCGCCCGTAAAATGCAATATATATCAGTACCCTTAGCACGAACCAATATCGAATTCGTATCGAATGCGAGTATGAAATGTCATTGTCAAATGTGTACTGATTTTTAGATCTAGTTACGTACTTTGTGGCGCTGCTGTTCAAGTTTCCATACAAAATTTGACAGTGACATTTCTCACTCGCAAACGATACGAATTCGATTTTGGTTCGTGCTAAGGGTACTTTACTACTCCCCTATCAGTACGGCGCCAGCGCCCTTCGAGGCAGGACCTATGTCTTATTTTACCGCACGCATCCCGAGCAATTCTCCGAGTGTATTTATCGTAAACCGGCTAGTGTTTCAAATCTGCCAGGCGTCCCGTGATGGCTCTCATTTTTTTTTAATACTGAATTTCAAGGTTGTGAGCCCGTGAAGCGTTACTACCTTAGACAAATGGAATGCACTGAGCGATACTGCTTATCATAGAAGACAGAAAGAGGTTAGAAGTATGTGTGAGAAAATGCTCATTACTTGACCATAACTCCTTTCTGATTGGGTCGTTGCTCTCGGGTGTTAGCGCTTATTGGTTCGATTGTTTGATGTCGCGTCTTTTGATTGGCTGTTATTTATTAGGTGGAGGTGTAGTGGAGGCAAGACGGCTACACGACGGCAGTTCCCGTAGAAACGGTATATGATTACCCTACTAACGTCTTTCTGTGTTCTGTGCTGCTTATCTGATTAGAATCTGAGAATAGTAAGATTATTACTTTAATAATTTTTTACCCACGAAACAAAAATTATTTGAGAATTTGAAAAAAATTTATACCCACGAATTATGATGATTGGCAAAAATTATAACGCAACTTTTGGAAAAAAAAGGTGATTAGAGTCTGTGCGGAAAGAGAATGAGCGTGGCGTAAAATAGAACTAACATTAAGATTTTTATTATTAGCAATCAAACCCGCAGCAAACATCAAAGTTTTGTATTGATACGGATTTGTTTCTTGTTGTGATTTCTTGCGATTTTTTGTATTTAATCATGTCTAAAAGTCCAATCTAAATCCCATTTTCTTTCCGCACAGACTCTACTTGGATGATTTACGGTAGGATTTATCCGGCTCGAAGGACCAAAAATGGATTATGTGCGGGACAGAAAGGAATTTGGACTTACGATTTTGTTGTCTACGATAACTTTTAGAGCAACGCCGGTCTGCCTGTTCTTCCGTAAGTTTTGGATGTTGTGGGAATGTGATTAATTTGACCAAAGTCGACTGATCGCTGTTGCGGCATTGTTGTAATAGACAGCTGACAGATACTGCCTGTCTACCCTCGTATTACAATAAAAAAAACGTCTAAGGGATAGGAAAAGGTGTAATATTACGTTATCATATCCAATGCATTCAATATATTTGAAACATGGACTCTGAACACCTGAAACTGACAATTCTTGACTAACCGCATTAATGGGTCAATCAAGTCACGAAACTCACCCGCGGCGGTCCGCCGCTAATGGCTTGATGGCGGAAACTAGAACTCTTAGTTTGCGCCGTTACTGTACAAACTGTATTAAAAAAAACATAAAAACTCTACCGTAGCTTGTGGACGGTTTAGTTGCCGCAATTAGTGGTTTAATGTGCGCTTGCTCTTATTCTCGGAACTCGTCTCACTACTGAAATGATGAGTACGTATAATGCTATATTGTTTTTTAAACGTAACGGACAGTTTTCTTCTTTCCGTTTATTAATTTATTGTACAGCACTATCAACATGTGACTGTATCAACTTAGTATCCGTTGCCTTCCATAGCGAGTTCAACTTATCTTGTCACTTGTCAGTGTCAAAGTGTCGAAAAAAATGTGTTGAATTTTATGTTGATTTCGTTTTTGTTTCTTTTATTTATGTAATTATTTTAAGTCTGATTTCTTGTTTATTTTTATAAAATGGGCCAAGACAATGGTGAGAAATTATCAAGGAAGCTACCAACTAAAAATCTATGTCACATATGCAACAAACATATATCTGGGGGCTCCTACTTTTTGAAAGCACATTTATTTCAACACAAAGTAGTGAAACCGCGATTCGACTGTCCATTCTGCAGTAAACAGTATTTTAGGAGAGATGTTTACAAGAAACACTTGGAAATACACACGGGAAGAACAAAAGTTTACGTGTGCGATTACTGTGACCGCGGCTTTGTCGACAAACGAAATCTAATAACACATCTAAATGTACACGAGGACGTAAACTACGTAACACGACAGAGGTATGACTGCAGGGCTTGCGGCGCCCAATACTGTGAAGAGAGATTACTGAAATACCACATAAGAAAAGAGCATTTCAACCTCCAACAAAAGGAAAAACTCTCAGACACAAAACACCTCAACGAAACGTGGGTAGAAAAAGTATTAGAATCAAATGTGTGCGTGCAAATGACTAAGATCAACAACAATGTTATCACTATAAAAAAATGTTCTACAATCAAAGAGGAGAATGGTGAATCGAAAATGGATAAAGACAGTCAATTTGCCAGTTACATAAACTCCGTGTTCGGTAATAATGATAAGTCGCAGTATTCTAAAGCGATATGCGATTATTGCAACAAGCAAATGTTAAAGAAAAGCCTCCTGAACCACATTAGGGAAAGGCATTTGAACATACGTAAGTTTAAATGCGTAGAATGCAATAGGAGTTTCAACAGACAATATCAATTGACCGATCATTCATGTGGAAAAATACGTAGGAGAGGTCTTAAGGGCACCTTAGGATTTTCTTAGGAACGCATAGTTTATTAACACTTATTAGTTTTAACTACTAGTACTCATTTAATTGTTTTTGCAACACTATTATTTCTCAATACTTATAAGTGAGTGAGTGATAATAATAGTGAGTTTAAAGTGTAAACTTTGACAATGGTGTCGATTCTGACATGATACTGTAAACTTAAACTTAAATTTGACAACAGCGCATCCTTATCATTCTCTATACAGAATGAAAAGGAGAGACTGATGTTAAATTTAGTTTTAAGTTTAGAGAATCATGCTAGAATCAACACCACTGTTTATGGTATCTTTCTTGAAGATTTGTTTGTTTAAACTTGCTTATGTGACTCAATTATTATGAATATGAGTGGTGTTAAGCAGAATGCGATATATCAAACAAGATTAAATGATAACATAACATATGTAGAACAAAATTTTCACTTGCTTCATAAATTTCCATTGGTGGCTTTCTGCTTAACTTAATATTTAGTATATTTGTTTCTTATGTTTTCACGCACACCGCTCATTACTCATTAGGACGTAAACTAACAAAGCTGAAATTGCGTTATTATTTGTTACTTGATGTTTTGCATTCTTTTCAAACTGCATCAGTTTTATTATAAAAATCATAATTCTGATGACGGAGCCTGAAAAGGATGCGAAACATTAAGTTACAAATAAATTAATGTATTTAAACCTATGAACCTTTGTTTTATTTAATATTTAATCATGAAAACTAGATATTTTATTGTTATGACATAAAGAGGAGTGTTATAGACAGTCACAGTAATGTTGAGATTGAAGAAAATATTATATGCATTGTTAATGTTGTCTGTTTCTTAACAATTGGAAGGATAATGCATGTTCCTGACAATATCTTGTTCTATTTTACTGTCAATAAAATTATATATTATATACTTCAAATACAAACATGTAGATAAAATTGTCCAATTTATTAAGGTTGATTTTAACAGAAAATATTGTATTTAAACACTTTACGCTGTGACAGTAGTGTTTAGCTACTTGAAATCTGAGCAACTAAGCTGGTTCTGTTCAAATTGTTTTTTACATTGTTGCATCTTTAATAGAATTTTTAAAAGCTTATGTTATTTGGCCAAAATGAGAAGCCAAACAAAACAATGTCTGTCTGTGTCTTCCTATTTGTCGTAATCGTAAATTATTGGATCGTACTTTTGCATGAAAATCTAGGTATGTAGTCTCTCAATATAGCTTTAAGGAAGTTCTCTTTTAGGTTATTCCAACGAATTAGGATTGATGTGGAAGAATAACATTATAATGAAGTATGGGTTTAAACTAGTACAGCTATACTTCAATACTAATGTGACACAGTGTGTGTGTGCACAGACAAAACAAAATACTTTGACAAATCATATATCTACAAATGAATTCGGCTATCGGTTCATTGGGTAAGAAAATATTAAAATGGAAATTCTCACTTATTCCATGATCATGTGTAGATTGCATTTTTTTCAGCCCGGCCCACTTGATCGCAGTTTGCCTGAAACCACTCTTAAGCACTGTTTGTATCATATATTATTTCTAATTCGTTGGATTTTTCACAGTTTGTATGTGTGTTAAGTTTAGTTGTTTATGTAGCACAATTCTTAAAAGACTGATATATGATTGTGCCTTGATTGATATATTTTTGTTTAGTATATAAGTGACTAGGCTAGAGTTTGTATAAATTTCTTTTTTGCCAGAATAAAATTGTTATTATTGAAGGCTGCATTAAACTCAAGATGACGCTGCGGCTTGAAAGATTCTAATTTCTCACTGACAAAGTGTCTTTCTTAACTTCAGTTTTTATAGACAAGTCAGTGTAATTGTATGTGCAAAGCTGGAGATTTGCACCGAATGTTTGTTAAAAAATGTGCTGCTTACTATTTTGGTGGAATTGTACCTTTAATCTTTTTAGTTTTTTTTTATTACAGCATCTCTGATTTCCAGGTGCAGTTGTGCATCATACTGTTTAAAATGTTATATATGCATAATAGGCATGATGACGAGGTAAAGTAAACGAAATTCTATTTAGTCCGTCGGTTAGATGATCAAAAAATAATGGACATGTATTTTTTTTTGGGCAATCAACCAAAAAATTACTAAGTTATAGCGCGTCAAAGTTTGGGAGTAGGGGCTCATTACGTCACTTTAAGTGATAATTGTACCAATACGTGACGTCATGCGACTTTTCAAATCAAAATCAATATTGCTGCAATGTATATATTATGTAAAAAAAGAAAAAAATACGTGTCCAATACATTTTGATAATCTACCTGATAAACGAAAAAAAATTAGTCATCATCCCTATTTTAAAGAGACATGTTTAATATATTTTTATATAAATTTTAGCAGTAAAAGAGTTAACAGCAGTTTTATAGAACACTAGAGAGATGTGGGAGCTCACACATTTTCTAAAGTATAGATGTCCCACAATCTTGTAGGATTCATTATGAATATAGTAAGGCTTTCAGCAGTATACCATGGATTTATGACCAGACCATTTTACAAACCAATATATGTCATAAAATGTGGAAGCAAATGTGGAAACGTTACAGGAGACTGTAACGTTTTATGCTTCAACTGCTTAACCAATTTTGATGAATATTGGTATAGAAACAAATTGGACCTTTTGTCTCGAAAATGGAAGTTGAAGCTGTGATTGAAAAAGGGAATGAAAGATTGTGTGTTAATACAATTAATATTACTTACTACAAATATTCTCCAAAGAGAGAAAGGACAATAATAATTGTTTTGTGTAGGTATACATAAAAAATACCTAATAAACTGTATCTATGATTAATTTACAAGGTGTAATAAATTAAGTTCATAATTATTCAGTTGAGTGTTTTAAAATTAACATCCTATTGGTGTCGATTCTGGCATGATTCTCTAAACTTTAAACTAAATTCAACATCAGTCTCTCTCTCATTTTTATAATGAGAATCATGTCAGTATCGACACCGCGTTGATCGAACCCCCCTTCCGCCCCTGTAACTCACCATAACGTTTTACAAGACCCCCCCAAGAACTCGCTGTTTTTTTTTTCTATATGGTTTCGCACGGTTTTGTGCATTTAGCTTAGCCAATGTCAAGTGTAAAATGTTTACATATTCTATAGCACTCGTGGTCAAAATATTAGTCAAAGCAAAGTAAGTGGCAGTCAAGTCAATCCCCCTTTCCGTATGTTTCAGAAATTGTGTTGGGATTTACTGGAGAGGTTCCAGTCCCGTCCCGTCCCGTGGACTTATTGAGGGAACGTCAAAAGACACTTTCCGCTATTTTGTTTCACTTGCCATCACTTGTGCATGTTTCCGAATACTTAGTAGTTAATAATCCACCATTATTAGACACTAACATCCGCCACAACACAATTTTTAACAAGAAAAACAAAACTGCTAAAGTGACGCTTCCCGATCCCGCCAAAAAGTCCAACTCGCTGGTTTGTAGCTTGTAAACTCGCCCCGTGACATCGAGGCTTTTCTCTCCGATAGAAACATAACAAAAGGTAGTGTTGATTGTTTGTGGTCTTCTGTAAGGTGGACATTACTTCCCTAGACAGGCGCTCCAATTCGAGCAAGAAATCCGCTTCTATGTAAATTTTCTATTAAGTATTTTTTGGAAATCAAACTTCGCCTGCGATGCAGATGGCGGCGTTGTTAAGGTGAGAGCGCGACTTGAACAAAAACAAAGAAGTTTGTTTGATCATTTAGTTTAATTAAAAACGCTGACTGTCTTTAGTCAATATCATTTATTTCATAATCTTCCGTTGCCGTTTTTCTACGTAACTTGGAACAAACAGATTCGGTAGTAGGCGTTATAAGCATAGGTAAATATTTGGCTTTAATTCTTTTCAATTGCTCTTGCAGTGAAAATATCGTTCTTTTTAAAGTTTCTTCATTGCTCGTCTCAAAGATATTTTTGATTTTTCCCGCCTCTTTTTTACTGACTTTATACTTTTTAATAACTTTTTTTCTTGGCTTAGTGTTGTGAAAATTAAATATGGATAACTCGTTTTCACGCTTGCTAACGCGTTTTTTTAATAAACTAAAAGTTAAAGGCTTATCATCTGTAACGTTATTGCTCTTGGAATCGGTACTCCCACAGTTTTTAATACAAACGTAATTTTTGTTCCCATATTTCATGATTCGTGAATATATTATATCATTGCTGGAATTTACCACTCTAAAAAATATAAAATCTTTATAAATCTGAAATAAACATTATAAGTTTGTTAGTTCTTTAGTACACAATTAAACAAGATAAACGAAATTAAGTTACCACGTATGTCATCATCAGTCATTAGCTCGCCCCACTACTGTGGCACAGGCATTCCTTAGAGACTGAATCATATATTATTTTGAATTATAGGCCATCGCACAGGCCCAGCCCAGATTAGTAAGTGTGTTTGCTGGTTGTCACAACTACATATGCAGCAACCAAATCCTAAATAATTATGTTTTTCGAAACAAGAATAAGTTAAAGGTATTAATGCAGAAACCATGCGATGACTAGAAATTGCGAAAATTTAACAAGCTTCCAGATTTGCAGATCGATTTTGTTACCTATATGTCATCAAGTTCCTCTTATTTACTCATATACATGGTTTTAATGTATTTTATATAGCTTTAAATAAAAAGGACGTTTACATGATGCTAACATCCGATAACAATTTACATAAAGTAAGTGAACTGCCATACATCCTACAGTACTGTAGAAAAAGACCGTTCAGTGTTCTGTGGCTTTGCAAAAAGTACTGAATGGTTTTGGATGAAATCGGTACGCATATCGCTTATGACCTGGAGTGAGATATATAAAAAGGGATTCTCAAAAAACTAAAGTTAACACAGACACAAACGGCCGCTATTACTTAAATTTATTAAGTCTATGCTACTGTTGTTCTTATAATGTGCATTTACACCTCAACCTAATGTCATTGGAGTTATCATTGACTTTTTTGGAAATGACTCGACACAGACTTCCCTCAATAAGGCAGCACAAACAGGACCTTATAATGCTGATACTAAAGCAATTATTGATCTGATATGATTTATTTCTCTTTGCTGGGTAGTAACGTGCTTTAATCGAACATTGATTGAAATATTCCATCCAAAATTGTATTTATTATGTGTTTTATTTATACTCAACTACTGCTATGTCTTCTTTGGACCTTTATATGGGATATAATTAATATATTTACACTTTGTACTATTAGGTACTTACTCTGTAATAAGTCGATATTTCGCAGTAGTCGCGTTTACCACAAATAGTTTCCGGTAGCCCTTTAGATTTTTTGAACAACCTTGTGATCTGATATGTAGTTTTGATGGGATTATCACAGCTGCTTACAATATCTGCGAATTTTATGACGACGGGGCAGGCATCGGTGTAGTTATAAATTTGGGTAAATTTGGCCCCACACACATGGACTGGGCTTATGACGGAAAATAAATCTACAGGGCAAGGGGGTGTGTCTTCTTCGATAGTCTGTTCAATAATAAAATAAAATTTAAAAAAATGTTATAATTATTGTTTTATGTATGAAAATGATGATCATACAGTATCTTATAGTTAAGGTCCATTGCGTGTTACATATAACGTTAACTTAAGGTAGAGCTAGTGAGTTTGGGACCAGAACCTGTCTTCGCATCTCTGAACTTTACCACCACTCAACATCAATTGTGGTAGAGTCATTTCTTCACTAAATAAGAAAATAATTTTCACAAGAAATATGTGTGACATTATGTATACATGTAGTTTTTCAAAATTCTGCTCACTGTGATAATACTACAGAATAAAAAAATAATACAAATAACATTTTATCCTGTAGTGTTATCGCAGTGAGTAAGTTGGCAGATCATAACATCAGGTGACAGGGATGAAATCAGCAAGATAGGCAATTCCAACATGTTTTATTCTACTTGGTATCGCAAGCGTCTATAGCCATAGTTGTTGGTTATCATAGACTTCTTTGTAGATATGCCTGAACTACTCCTTTCTCGAAAAAAGTAAAAGTAGTAGGTAGCTAAATTTTAACTCATTTATTTTTTATTAATTATTTATCTCTTACCCAAAACCCAGGACACTTTTTGTACGTTGTATTTATAGCATTGTTACATTTATAACAAACAATCTTCGCTAAGTTGTTTGGATAAACCACTTTTTTCCATGTTCGCCAAAAATGGTCTCTTTTATAAACATAACTTACTCCAATAGCAGCCAAAAGTCCCCTAAGGTCAAATTCGATTTCATTTATTTTATTCCAACTCTCTAATCTCTCATCTACCACTATATGTGCTATGCCGTTTAAGTAAACCGTATCCTTTGAAGACAATTTATTTAAGAGTTGAATTCTCATTTCTTTTGCTCGTCTTTGATTCTTTCTCTCTAAAAATATTTCTCTCAAAGACGGTTTGTTCTCTATATACCTATCGACATAATATTCATAGTCAGGCAACTCGAAAATATGGTTGTTGCTAGCTTCTGATTCAAACAAATAATATAATGGGATTATGAAGAAAATAATTTGTTTATTCATAATTTGATTATGTTTATCAGAAGATCTTATCTTATTCTGACGATGCAGACCTGAAAAGGCTGCGAAACGTCAATAAATAAATAAAGTTTCGTGCATTAACCCGTAAAACTAGTTTTATAGAAGATGTTTAATTTTATTAACGGTAGAGTCAGCTGATTGAACACTTTATCATAAAAACAAGTTTTTGTAAAGTATATTTGTCGTGAATTTCTAGCCAAAACGCATTCCTTTCATTTTATCTGTCGTATCATAAAAACTTTATCTTAAAAATTTGTTAAATACCTAAGTCCACTACCATACCCAATCCATCCATCCATCAAGCCAGAATATTTATGTTTTCTCTCAAAACTTATGCAATCAAAACTCAAAACATCACCATCACTTATCCAAAGAATCACTTTTAAAAAAATGTGCTGAAATTAATAATAGCACAAAAATGTTTCATTAAATACTATATGCTCTTTAATATCCGCGAACAATAGTATGTGGTGTTGAACAATTCAGAATCTACATCATTCTTGTTCCATTTTTACTTTGCGGTATCCATATTTATAAACAATGGCTCGATTTGCGGTTTATCGGTAATAACTGCTCACATTCTTTTATTTTCAAGTCAGGAAACATTCAATAAAATATTTCATCACAGTGTTTTTAAAATAACAATGAAACAATCAAGTGCGAGATTGATTCTCACTGAAAGGGTTTCAAACCATTTTATGAACATGACTTAACTTTAGTTTGAGGAAAAGAACGTTAGAAATGTTTCGATTTTTGTATGGGTTACCTTCCTTTATTTTTTATAAATACTTAAAATTAATTAGATGTTTGTATCTTTCATCGGCAATTAAAATTTGCATTCTGTGAAAATTTTAAACGTTCACTCTTAAACATCTATGAGATACCTGCACCTATTAACAGACAGACTTTCAAGGGACTTTCATATGCAACGATCCTGCGCTTTTCGTAGCCAGTGTCCACCCTCCCCTCGCTTGCTATCGTCAGCCCCCTTGATGAGGACATTACCGATACTGCGTTTCCCGGTGCGAGGTCACCATTGCAGCACCTTGGGATCCAACGTCCATCGGTTCACTGCCACTTCAGCTTAGTGATCGTTTGAGCTTTGCCGGTTGTTCTAGTTAGCACTTGAACAACTAGACGGATTTCCTCATTCTTGATTCAATCACATAGAGACCGATCTGCTATCTTCATCTCTTGCTGTGCGACTCTAACCTTATCTATGAGGCCCATAGTCAAAGAGTACGTCTCAACTCCTTATGTCATCACTGGCAACACGCACTGTTCGAAGACTTTGGCCTTCAGGCACTTAAATATTACGGACGAGAAACATTGCGTTGTTTCACAAACGCTGCCCAGCCGAATTGCATTCAAAGACAATATTTATAAGATCTGAGTTATTGAATTCGTTTCCGCCCCTAATAGCAGAATAACTAATAAAATATCCGAAAAATCACGGAAAAAAAGTTATACAAAAAAAATGGATGCGTGTAACTTATGTACGCGCGTGAGGAGTTATACTTCTTTAGCATTATTAAAAATATTTTTTAATTGCATGCAAATAATTAATAATTACAATAAAATAATAAAAGGACTGGAAAAGGATAGTTAACACGGTCAATTAAGTTCAGTTTTAATTTGAAAAATTAAATAAATATTCAAAATATTCAATTAAAATCACTACTGAATTTAAGTTATTAGTCCATATGTAATTAGCACTTGTAAGTAACTAAAACACGTTGTGTCTATATAGAAACTAGAAACATGTGGATAAATATTATAAATATGAAAACAGTGATCAGAGGCGACGAGCGTGCCAACATTGTTTTTGACAACGCGATCATCTTATGGAGCTCCGTGGATCGTTCAAAGTACCTTTCGAACAGATGTCTAATAATGGTGGATTATTAACCACTAAGTGGTTAATAATCCACCATTATTAGACACTAACATTCATAACGCGCCCGCGGCCAACTTCATGGTGTTACTATTGTGTTACAGTGATGCGCGCGCATCTCGAAATTTCACTCTCATCATTTTTTCATAACGCGCCCGCGGCTAACTTCATTATGTTACTTTTGTGTTACAGTGATGCGCGCGCATCTTAAAATTTCACTCTCATAATTTTTTCATAACGCGGCTAAAGAAGTATAACTTCAAAAAACTTTCTTCTTAATAATAAATTAGGTTTGGTATTCCGCCTTCTTCCAAATGACAGCTCATATCACACATATACAAAGTCTAATATACTGCAATCAGTAAGATTAGTCCATTAAAGATATTTGAAAATAAAAATCAAAACGTAAATGTGGTAATATAGTTTTCTAAATGGACGTGATCACTCTAGAGCATGACATTGTAATTTAAAGAAAATACTGTAATCATAAGATTCTTATAAGACTTTGCAATACTTGGTGATATTTAGGTGCGAAGTATATAACTTCACTATACTGAGGTATTAATAATTCAATATCATAGTTTTCATTTCAACATGACATAATTTTTTCTCCATTTGGTTTTAGTTTTCAAATTATAAAATCATTTCTACTTTCCCTAGAAGTCTTAAGGTAGGTATTGAGAGATTAAAGGATGGCTATGTTTGGAGAATATCGGGTAAATACCTGGCAACAAATTTACCCCGTTTTAAATTTCGCTGATACGCCAATGAAGTAATATTATTGGAATTTATTGACCATTTCTACCACAAAATAATGTCGTTTTAACTTTTAAATGAGTGGCAACACAGAAAAGTCATGGTTTATAATATTATTAATATGAATACTAATATACCCAATATATTAGATACAATATACGATCAACGTAAGCCTATTGACATCAAACAAAAAACGAGCGAGCCTTACAGTAGCCGCGTATGATGTGTAACATTTGAAACCTCACCTTATATTTCACGAAATCACTCCGACAAATTGCAAGAAAGCAAGAGGAAAGATGTTACACATCAATTATATCATACAATAACGAATTGCCGTATTTAGTTATTAAAAAAATAACGTTTTTCTTATCTCATCCTCAATAAAAAAATAAACACATAGCCAATGGTAAACTTGGTAATTCGTTCGTTCATTCATATTTTCATTCAATGTCTTGTGTTTCTTTCTTTCTCGTCTTTCTTTCAATTTCTATTCGCTCTGTCTACGGTATTTCGTGTGTCGTTCGTGTGTACGTCTGTCTCATTCCATTCACGTTCATTTCATTGATAGCAAAAGTAGGTATGGAATGGAGGAAATGCTTTGTTAACAGTTTCCATTTAAATTATAAAGTCAATTAAATGTGACCGTATGATTAAAAGACGATTATGTGACAAGACCCTTTGGGTTCGCTTGTGAATATTTGTGATAAGATTTGTTTAGTGTTATCTAAATTAAGTGTTTTTGTGACTTTATTTTGACAACGGATCCAATATCCAACATATCGGTAAGTTGTGTAAAATTATGCACTTCACTTTTATTATTCACTTAGAATCCAGTCCAATGTTTGCAAGTAGATTTAAAAAGTGTTCTTCATAACTAAAAAAAAAGATCTTGCATAAAATGTATTTTTCAGGTGAATATTTTATATAAGTATCTTTCTTTTTGCTCTACTTTTGATCTCTACATTTATCAATGTTTATAAAAATTATCATTTGCTGCTTCCAATGTCTGATTTCTCTTTGTTACTCACTCTTGCTTGTGTATACTGTACCTAGCATAAAAAACGAGTAGTATAAACCTTTTGATAACATAGAACTATGCTGAATAATACTCATTATAATTATTAACAGCTAATAACTCTGTTTAATTAGTAGTTATTACCTGAGAATGGATAGAGATGAATGCAACTGTATCATACTACACACATCAAAGAAAAATGACAAATCTGAAGCAACATGCAACACTTACACAAAGTGCAAGTTCATCAGTTGACTAGCGGCCCGCCCTCGCTTCGCTTCGGTGTAGAGCTGAAGTGTAGACTACAGTTTTTGTTCTCAGGCTTCTATTATACACAATGACAGTCATCTATGATTCTTCTTTTACCTGCATGCAAAGTCTTAGCCTGATCTGTTTAAAGTTCACAAAGTTTCATACAAACTTTCATTCCCTATTTTATCCCCTTAGGGATAGAATTGATCAAAATCCTTTCTTAGTGGATGCCTACGTCATAACATCTACATGCGTGCGTGCGGGCAAGTGCCAAATTTCAGCCTGATCCGTCCAGTGGTTTGGGCTGTGCGTTGATAGATCACTATTTCAGTCAGTTGGTCACCTTTGAGTTTTATGTATATAGATATTTAATGTTATTGATATAAAATGTATAATTTATTCAAGTTTTTTTGGGTTATTCACTAAATCGGTGAAACTGTACTTCCTTGACCCAAGAGGTGATACTTGACATTTTGGTGGTGAAAAGGTGTCTATTAACAACTTTCTTTTCTGGATTGTTATGGTCACAACACTAACCTAACCTAGTGTGAAGTACCTATCACCTCTGGGGTCCAGGAAGTACAGTGTACAATAAATCAATTTGGTTATTATTAACAAAAGAATATTAGTATTAAGAATATGTCAGAAGTTCAATAAACTTCATGTTGCTTAAGACTCTTGATGAGTATATGTTATAAAATAAATTTCCTCACCACTTCAGCTTGTCCTTAAATTAGTAGTTCCATGAATTTTTTATACAAGTACGGTTTCTTTGAATGATGTCATTCAAAACTGCATCACCCATGAATGTCTATTTTTGGCATCAACAACAATTTTTAAATAACTAATTACATTTTTATAATCATATGGATGGATAGACATTAAACAATTGTAGTATGAATACCATTGCATACCAGGGGGCCATTCGCCTATAGGAAATGCTGTGGAAAACGCTAACGCTTTCGATTTTATTTTATTATTTCTGACCGCTGAAGGTTTTCAAATACCACCTGCTCATTTTTTTAAATATTGTTATTAACAATGCAAAATAAAAGTAAAGGGCGCGAGGCATTTGAAAACCTCAGATGGCTAAAAATAATAAAATGAAATCGTAAGCGTTAGCGTTTTCCAAAGCATTTCCGTTAGGCGAATGGCCCCCTGATGTCATGAGAGGTCGGTGTCTGAACTAAGCCAAGTTTGTCTATATACAACCACTTCATTAACACAAACACAATTTTGGGCCAAATTATCAAAAACACAGAATGCCAGAAAAGTTGGAACTAGCTTGTATCTTATACATAAGCATATAAAATATACTTATGCATTACTTAGGGGTTGTGTTAGCCGAAACCGATTAATTACCCCAAAAATTTGTTTCATTTATTTACAGTGCCCTTATTGAATTCGCTACATTTGAATTTTTGGCTTGGTTTATGCGTTCTTCTAATGTGGCTATTGAAGTAAAATTTTGGAATAAAAACTTTCGCTGACTTTGAGCTTGACATTGCTTTGTTGTAAAATTCATAATCTATAGATAGAAGACAGTTTACCTATAGTAACTTGGTGTGTGCTGTCTATACATATATTCATAATAAGATCATCATACTCATAAATAAATGGATACTTATTCGCAGCAACACAAATAATAAACATATCGAAATTATAATTACCTATATTATTGATGTGTTAGGCAATGATCATGAAAACCTTGTCACATAAGTGTTAAATATTGTCCAAACAAATATGGACTTGATACTCCTATGTATCCACAACTATGATTAATGAATTATTATATTACGATTGGTATTTGTTTCATTTTCAATAATATTATTGTACTATGGACATACAGCTTGATAGCCCAAGAGGTTAACGCGTTCGGCTGTGATCGCTAAAGTTAATCAACTTTCGTAGTGGTCGGTCATTGGATGGGTGACCAAAAATCTTCTAACTCGAGTTCCTCCATACTTTATTAAGCCGTTGTGAACACACTCTGTGAACACCAGGTACTGATACGACGACAACAGCTAACTAAGGTCGTGATCCGAGTCTCAGACACGCCCTCTAGTTAAGCCGATCCCCTCAGGTTCGAGTGGTCGAGACGCTCCTGACGGAGAGGACCTCTAGAGGCACTCGCCAATTCTCGGCTTGAGCTCCCCTTAAGATCTCGCCGTCCCCAAACCCGGTGACGCTATAAAGGTCATCTGCGACCAACAGCTTACACACACAAAAATAAAGGCATCGGTCACCGATCGACTCGCATCCACCAGATCGTAGGTCCACCTGGTGAGTGAGATGCCTGCCCACTGAGCGTGGTCCGGTGCGTGGTTGCTATTCGAGAACCTTTCCACATAAACGGACATGGGCTCTTCTTGCTACTTCTCCCGTCCACTGCCGCTTCAGCTGAGCAATCCTTCGATCCTAATATGTCGGTTATTTTGGTTCTACTGCGAGAGGAATACTAAACAGAGAGAGAGAGAGAGAGAGAGAACCATTTTATTGACCAATAAAATACAAACATAAAAATTATAAACTGCTAAAATAAAAAAACATATATAAAAAGTAAGCATTACACAATTTTCTAAACCTAACAGCCTTCATATTGGTCAATCAGGACCCTGCCTCAGCATAATGCTGCCGTGACATGTAACTAAACGTGTCACGACAACGCTGGTATTCTGACAGGGCCTGTATGGTGCACGGTTTTTTGGTATACACACAACAATATAATAAATTTAATCAAGAATACAAATAGATTTATAATTACATAAATAGTGATAAGTGCAAAAATGAAAAAAATCTAATAAATAAATAACTATATATGTAACCCAGTATAATAAGCTAAACATAACTTTTCGATTGTCCGCTGTGCGACCATACGTCTTTTTCGGAAGACGTAAGCTCTTCTGAGAATGAGACCACTACGTTTCTCTTCTGTAGAGCATTACTGGCAACACACACCGGCCAGTCAAAGATTTTGTCTTGATCAGAGTTATATATATACAATGCCCTAAGAGACACTCCCAAGAAATCGACCACTTTCTACTAGACAAAGAAAAAGCGACAATGCAGGCAATATCTATACGAACTATTATAGGCCGCAAGATCACTTTGTCCCTCTCACACTAATCTGTCCAGTTTTACTTGCTTAGAATGCTGGCTGAGCACATTGTATTGCAGTAATAAACTGCTACACCAACCATCCTAACCTTGCCGGCCCGCAAAACTGCTTCTTCACGCTTGTAACTTCATTTCCTATTGAACAGTTGGTTCTAATAATAATGAAAAGATAATCTTCACGATATGTTATGAAATATATCAATACAGTTGGCGACTGTCCAGATTGCCAAATGCGTGATTTTCACAGTAATTTTATGGAGATTAGTAGGTTGGTAATTTACTCGTACAGGGAAATGGATGAATCATATTATATTTCAGTATATATTACCATAAATCGATGGGCGTCGTGCCAACAAATATCATTAGTTATCTTTTTGCCTAAAAACAGCGTGGGCAACACTGAAGTTCGTTCATGTCTAGGGTTGCCAAATTAAGACAAAAAAGCAGGACACTTGTCCCTTAAATCCCCATATTATTGCTAGAATGTCAGTAAAATAAGAACGAAGATAGCTAGATTCATATACGCTTACCGAGAAGTTAAAAAACGAGTAACATTCAAACTGCCTTATCATGGTTAAGGTACGTTATAATAATACTCTGGCCGTATGGGCGCAGTATTTTTTGCCTTCCCAGAACGGGCACCGACTCACCTTCTATTTCTATTCTACAAAAAAAGTTACTAAGAATACTAGACAACCTAAGAAATACTCAGTGTTGTAAACCTATCTTCAAAAAGTACAATTTACCTGCTCTCATCATCAGCGACGACCTCCTTTTTCCAGTGATTTGTACGCCGGGTTTCAAGGTGTCGCAAACTCGGAGGGGTCCCAGATTCGAATCCCGGTGGGGGCAGATGTTTGTGTGACGAATACGAGCATTTGTACTCCAGTCATGGATGTTTAATATGTATTTCAATATAAATATACTTAGATATGTACAGTATATGTGTTCTATCCGTTACCCGAGTATCCCATAACACAAGCCTTACAGTGCTTACTTTGGGGCTAGATTATGGTTATGAGTGTTGGAAATATTTATTATTATTATCATCAGCCTAATAATATCCCCACTGCTGGGGCGCAGGCCTTCTCTATGGATGGAATAGGGAGATTGGGCCATGATCCACCACGCGGGCCGCAGTGCGGTCCGACATTTTTAACTCGGCAACATCCGTGGCCGAGTGGTTTGTACGTCGGGTTTCAAGGTGACACCTACTCGAGAGGTCCGGGGTTCGAATTCCGGTGGGGGCTAATGTTTGTGTGATGAATACCAGCATTTGTACTCCAGTCATGGATGTATAATATATTTTTCTATATAAATATACTTATATATATGTATTCTATCCGTTACCCTAGCATCCCATAACACAAGCCTTACAGTGCTTACTTCGCTTCGGTG